GGGGGGGGGGGGGGGGTTGGATCAGTCAACTTCAAGAAGATAAACAGAGAATTTTAATCCCCTCCAACATGTTTTTCCCTAGGTCTTGATCCATAACCAGACATGGTCTTGGCTTTCAGCAACTCAAAAGCCAACCTATAATTTGGAAGCTGGACAACTGGGACGGATCACACACTAAAACCCACCCATCAACCCACGCAAAAAAAAAAAAAAACATGAAAAGACTAACAGCTAGAACAGGCAAGGTACTCATTCATAGATTCTGGGTCATTGGCTTACTGGCACAGCTTACAGAATAAATTACTTAAACAGATGAAAGACCTGCGCATCAACGGCCCTCGTTGTTAAGCCACACCTTTGTCTGTCTCCATCTAAAAAATACTTTTTTAATAAATGTTTATCAAAAGTGTTTATAAGGAAAACACTTTTATTAAGTAAGTATTGTTTAGACATTCAAAATTTAAAATACTTAAATTAATGTATTAATGTATTGATTTCACCCACTGCCAATCCTCCGAAGCACCACCCAAACTCTTCATTTCTCCCCAATTCCAACCCCTAGTTCAATCTCTTTCGCGACAACAATGGTGGTCTCGCTTTGTCATTTACATCCCCCAGTTTGCCATTTCTTGCAGCCACAGAGCCTTGGTTTAATCCTGGCTTTTCCAGTGAGCTATTTCAACAAACACCTTCACTTCACTTCAATTATTTCTGATACAACAACAATCCAAGACCTCATAAAGGAAATTTCTTTTTATCCAATCAGTTCATTGAACATGGGTATTGAGCTGCCTTCAATCCCATCACCAATGCCTAAACCATCAAAAACTTCGTCTGCAAACACTGGGAGTGACTATATAATAGATGCAACATCAAGTGCTGCTGATGAGTATGAAATTGCACCGGAATTTCCACTAGGAAATAGTGGTTTGTTGGAAGACCTAGTAGAGAAATCTCAAGCTGACTCAGGCTGAGAAATCAAGGAAAAAGAAATCTCCAACATACAATGAAGCTAAAGTGAAATGTGTATCGGAAGAGGCGGCGGAAAACCTTTGGGAGATCAAATCTTTGCTCCTTCATCCATTGGTGAATTTCTCATTGTCTAAGCAATCAGGGACTTAGAGAGCTATCAAGGGAGTGAGGAGAAAAATGACAAATGAAAATGAGAAGTGATTTTTAAAAGTAAAAGTTAATTATTTTTACTTTTTTTTATTAACTTATTTAAGTGCTCCAATTACTTTTACTTATCAAAAAGTGTTTTTAACAAGTTAAGTCAAACACTACTTTTTTTAAAAAAATATTTTTCAAAACTTAAATTCCCAAAAAAAACTTTTTTTTAAGTCATGTCAAACATACTCTAAATTGCCACGCTTCCAAATGGCTTAATCCTCTTTAACTCAAAACCAACATTTTCCCAAACAAGGGGTATACAGGCTGTAAAGACACACCTAAGAAAGTAAATCCGGGAATATATATACCAATGCTGAGTAGCTGTACTCTTTTTTTCCCTCTTTTTGTGTGTGTTTGGGTGGTGGTGGTTTTGGGGAGTGGGGGTGGGGTTCTAACAATCAGTAGCACCAACTAAACCAAAGTATAACCAATACCAATGAGAATCATGATTTTGTACAATAAACATAAAAGCCACAGGCTCAAATTTAGCAGCAGCATCAAAACAAGATGCGGTCATGTCATATCCAAATACTACAGCAAATCATATGCTTGAATTTAAACAATCTGGGACGACCTGATGACACCTTATGCTCAGAGATATGAAATAATAATAGAATTAGATACAAAAATTGTCAAGTCTACTTTACAACAATCCTTCATCCAAACTGGGAAGTCAAAAATACAAAAATGAAATGTGTAAAGAGAGAGAGGGATACAGATATAGGCAACAAATGTTCCAACTATGGCCAATAAACTATCTTCTCGGATACAGTACCCTACAACTACAAACTTCTAAGAATCATCTCGAAAAATCCCAAAAATGCAACCTATGGAATTATGTCCGTACACAAGAGAGAGGCGGAAAGGAGTGTATAAAAACTAAAGTGAGAAATTCAAGAGCATAGAATAAGTCACCCCAAGAAAACAAAACCAAACAATATTCCTACAACAGCCAAGAGTATCGTCCTTTCAATTCATCAAGCATGACAATAGGAAAAAAATAATAAAACGTGTAACTATGTACTTGTGAGATCCATATTTTAAAAAAAAAACCCAAATTCTAGTGGCTATTCATCAAAACTGTGAATCTAATAGGGTTTACTCATATAATAAGCCTGTAAATGTGGTATCACCCAATATTTTACAAGCACATGTAATGGGAATATAGCTTTCATAAGCAATCACACAGCAAATTTATAATGCCTCGGAAAATACCTCTAGTTTTCTTGTAGGACACCTGAGTAAGAGTTGCCCTCTCTTATTGTTGCCCATGAGCAATTTTGTAATATTGAGAAAAAAAGTTTATTCTGCATCCCTGCACCATACTAAATAACTTGAAGGCAAAATGCTAATCAAAAAATGTTGATGCACTTAGCCACATTGTTTATTTGGCATCTCTTGGGGATCTCTAAGATCAAGCATACACCAAAACTGCTTCTTCATGACATAAATGTTGGAGAATCGCCTCAAAGGGTTCTAGTTCCCCATTCCAATGAATCATCAGGATATCAATCACCTATTATTATCCCTAATCCAGAAGCTCCATTATCCTGCATTACACATTCTGGGTTTTCTATATAAAACCTAGACACTCAGATTGCCTCAAATTTCAAAAATAATATGCAACAAAAAATTATGATCACAATTATTTTTGAGCAAGAGAGTCCTAAAGGAGCCCTAGATAACAATAGGTTAAATACCAGAAAAGCAATATTCAACAATAACCTTCACATACTGCACAGACAGACTATGAACCAACAATTTAATCAGGCATCTAATCAATACCAAAAATAAAATAATTCGTTGTGTAAGACAACCACGAGTATCTCATATATACGATTCCCAAAAGGTCTTGTTCCCATGAATACAGTTTCCCTTTTAGAAAACAGTCATAGAGCATATATTTGAAATAAAACTACTTGATATTTTCTTTCATGTGTCTAATTTCCCACAAATCTGACATGTTTTAGAATTTCGTAAAGGGCAACTTTTTTCCTTTTCAAACGGTTGAGCAGCATGCCACCAGATCCTATCTATTTGATATCCAATCCTGTTATTGTCACCTCACAAGTGGTCATACTAATATATGTTAAAACATTCTCTCTTACAAACCAAATAGAGGTTGCTTCAAAGCATTAACACCATCATGGCGCAAAGATCAAAAATCAAAATCTTCCACTAACCACCCAAAAAGCGACTGTGCAAATCAAACACCTATTTCACATAGTTATAAAATGAAGGGAAAAATTGGCATCACCACAAGCTGGAAAAATTAGCATCACCAAAAGCTGGAAAAATTTGACCAACTTCGCTCAAGAGGGGTATCAGGAATTCAGAAGCTAGGACAACTTGCTGGACAAAGAAGCATAATTCTATAGCTAATCCACCACTATAACTACAATAAATGCAGCCAAACCTCGAAAATTGTTCAACCAACAAAAGCAAAACTGTCTTTACTATCCTATGTCAACCCAATGAAATTCTACAGACTACATACCGACAATACAATCTCCCAAGGGAAAAGATGTGAAATTTGGCTATGATACCGTAATACATAGTTGACAAAAGCAGATCATTTGTCCTACTTGATGCAACTGTCACAGATAAAATGTCTTTTAAGTCCTGATCTCAATTAGAGAAGACTGGTATGCAGCAAGAGTGTTCGGCAGAGAAGCTCCTCAGTTATAATTTACTTTATTTGTTTACGAGTAAGGCCAACACTAACATCAATAATCCTCAAAAATTTACTCAAGTGGCCACAAAAATTGTTCACAAAAAACTAAGTTGGACTCCCTGGGTCAAATAGGTAAAGTAAAATTGCTCCTAAACCATGATTGATTTGACTGCAATACAAATGAAGTCAGCACCAACGTCACTGCCCCTTGTATTTACTCAAACAGGACCACAAAAATATCAAAAAGGGACCATCAAACACTTCAAATGTCTTCAAGTTCAGGATCTCACCATTAAATGAATCTCACTCTTAAAGTTGCAATTTTGGAACTTATATATCTCTCTACAAAAACTGAAGGTAACCCCAACAGGCCTCATTCTCACATTAAAATTTGCCACTTCCACCATCTACATCATTAACATGAAAAACCTTGATCTGAAAATTTTCACTTCCAGAAGAAAAATAGACACCCAAAACTATCCTTTAAGCTTCAAAATAAAGGATCAAACATGCACTTAATCCAGAATAATTATAACCAAAAGGAGGAAGGCATCCTTTTGCAATTTCCACCAACAGCCCATATCCAATGTCCTCAAATTGCTCCTACCCAGAGCAAAATAGTTGGCATCAATCCATAAATCCACCTTACAATGTAATATTGGGATTTATAATAAGGTCCTTAAGGAGGCACGACCTAGACTAGACACATAAAACTTGTAACGTCTGAAAATTTGACAAAGAGAACATAGGAGCAAAAGAGGGTAGATAACACAACAGAGGGAGGAACGACTTGATAATAAGAACAAACTGAAAACGATAAAGAAAGAAGGAACTAAAGAAACTAATTCTGGTTCCCTCTTGTGCAAAAAGACCATATTCCATCATCGAGCAGAATGCATCCTACCTCCTTAAGTCCACCTGAAACATGTAAGTGATAAACATTCTTAACACTATTAAATTAATGTCAGAAAGAAGTAGCAATTAAAATTGCTGAGCATTGTATTACCAGATGGTTTTCAAGCCTAATAGTAATAGCCACCCCCATAAGGGCGATCGCCACCGTAAAAGGATGAATATGGGCCTCCACCATGCTGTAGCATTATATGAAAGGTAAATATCACCATGCATGAGTGTATTAAAATGTGAAACTTCAATCGAGATAAACCCAACCATTAGTACTCACATCAGAGCCATAGTAATCTTGTGAATAAACACTAGGGCCAGCTCCAAAAGTTTCTAACACAAAAAAAAAACATATAAGCATAAGCAATCTGACAGGAGAATTGATCATACAAAAAACAGGCCAAATACAAACAGAAAAACTGCACACAAAAATCCAGACCTCGAGAACGAGTTCCACGGAATGCAACTGATTGATCAGAATAATCAAACCGAGGGCGAAGTCTGCTAGGCTCCGTGTAATCCGGATCCTGGTCCTAAAATCCAAAAAAAATTAAAGAATTAAGTGATACCACATAAGCATTTCAAGTCATCTTATTTCATATTACATTTTTGCCATGAGAAGAAAAAACAACAATTTAAAAGCGGCATACTGTCATAAAATATGGCCGCTTCATCCCATGTGCAGCGTCATCATAAAAATAAGGCTCATCAAAGTGCCTTCCGCCGTAAGGTCTGTTAAATCCTTCTTCCGGACGAAAAGGTTGTCTTCTAAACGAAACAGGATCGCCATGGCCTCTATCAGTGGCCACATGCCTGTGTCTATCAAGGTTAGTTCTTGCAGGCAAAGCACCTCCACCAGATGGTTGATGAGCACCCCTGAAAGGCCCCCACCTTCCTGCTTATGTGGCAGGATATATCAAAGATCATTAATGGCGGCTAGCCACACTACACGCACACACAAATTACAAAAACATGTACGAATTCATATGCTCTGATGCTAACAAAAAACAAGAGCCACAAAAAACATACAATAAGTTTAATTAATAACCTCGTCCAAAGTTTTGCCTTCCATGAAATGGAGGGTACGGGCTATCATGATCCGGTTCATTGGCAAAACCCATTCTGCCAGCCTGGCTGCGCCCACGTTGATAGAAACCCCTTCCACGTTGAAAGTTTGGTCGGTTGAAGGGCTGCCCACCTCGTCCAAAGCCTCTCCCTGTGAGAAATAGACGATGCTATATAATAACAGTGTAAGATAATATTGAAATCTGAAGATGCAAAAACTAGCACATATACCAAATTTTGGAAAATTTCCACTGCTGCCATGACCAATACGGAACCCACCGCACATTCCACCTTTCACAGCTTGGATTTTAGGTAAAGGATTTGAAAGTCGTGCCTTCACTTTAGTCTAGAAACATGAAACAACATTATTCATTCTGTTAATGTCAAATCCAACAAAAATTCCAATATCAAGCCAAAATTATTTGGGCTGTTCGGGTTTATTTGGGTTAATTTTACTTGCGTATAAAATTGATGATCGAAATATGACAAAATGTAAAGGCCAAAAGAGTAATTTAAACCATACATTACCACTGTAACTTATTAAGTCCCTGAGACCAACTAGTCAAGGTAATTCATCAAAAATCACATGAACCCAATAAGCTAAACACGTCCTGTAACCCCAATTTTTTGTGGTTGACAAGTCATATAAACACAGGAGTATGTTAACATTGCGAAAAAATAAAAGAACACCTTTAAGTTTCCATCACCAAACTCCAAGTTATTTATTTCATCAATGCAAGCAACAGCCGCCTCATGAGTAGTGAAGTCAACAAATCCAAAATNACAGGCCAAATACAAACAGAAAAACTGCACACAAAAATCCAGACCTCGAGAACGAGTTCCACGGAATGCAACTGATTGATCAGAATAATCAAACCGAGGGCGAAGTCTGCTAGGCTCCGTGTAATCCGGATCCTGGTCCTAAAATCCAAAAAAAATTAAAGAATTAAGTGATACCACATAAGCATTTCAAGTCATCTTATTTCATATTACATTTTTGCCATGAGAAGAAAAAACAACAATTTAAAAGCGGCATACTGTCATAAAATATGGCCGCTTCATCCCATGTGCAGCGTCATCATAAAAATAAGGCTCATCAAAGTGCCTTCCGCCGTAAGGTCTGTTAAATCCTTCTTCCGGACGAAAAGGTTGTCTTCTAAACGAAACAGGATCGCCATGGCCTCTATCAGTGGCCACATGCCTGTGTCTATCAAGGTTAGTTCTTGCAGGCAAAGCACCTCCACCAGATGGTTGATGAGCACCCCTGAAAGGCCCCCACCTTCCTGCTTATGTGGCAGGATATATCAAAGATCATTAATGGCGGCTAGCCACACTACACGCACACACAAATTACAAAAACATGTACGAATTCATATGCTCTGATGCTAACAAAAAACAAGAGCCACAAAAAACATACAATAAGTTTAATTAATAACCTCGTCCAAAGTTTTGCCTTCCATGAAATGGAGGGTACGGGCTATCATGATCCGGTTCATTGGCAAAACCCATTCTGCCAGCCTGGCTGCGCCCACGTTGATAGAAACCCCTTCCACGTTGAAAGTTTGGTCGGTTGAAGGGCTGCCCACCTCGTCCAAAGCCTCTCCCTGTGAGAAATAGACGATGCTATATAATAACAGTGTAAGATAATATTGAAATCTGAAGATGCAAAAACTAGCACATATACCAAATTTTGGAAAATTTCCACTGCTGCCATGACCAATACGGAACCCACCGCACATTCCACCTTTCACAGCTTGGATTTTAGGTAAAGGATTTGAAAGTCGTGCCTTCACTTTAGTCTAGAAACATGAAACAACATTATTCATTCTGTTAATGTCAAATCCAACAAAAATTCCAATATCAAGCCAAAATTATTTGGGCTGTTCGGGTTTATTTGGGTTAATTTTACTTGCGTATAAAATTGATGATCGAAATATGACAAAATGTAAAGGCCAAAAGAGTAATTTAAACCATACATTACCACTGTAACTTATTAAGTCCCTGAGACCAACTAGTCAAGGTAATTCATCAAAAATCACATGAACCCAATAAGCTAAACACGTCCTGTAACCCCAATTTTTTGTGGTTGACAAGTCATATAAACACAGGAGTATGTTAACATTGCGAAAAAATAAAAGAACACCTTTAAGTTTCCATCACCAAACTCCAAGTTATTTATTTCATCAATGCAAGCAACAGCCGCCTCATGAGTAGTGAAGTCAACAAATCCAAAATCCTTCCTCTTGGCAGTCGACATGTTCCTGGCCAGCATAATTCGCTCAATCTCTCCATAATCTTTGAATTTCTCTCTAACACGGTCTTCATCCCAATGAGGAGGGAGCCCATCAACAAATACTGACTTAACCTGGGCCATGACCTCTGGATCCGGCTCGCGCAGCGGTTCAGCGAAAGCTACTTTGGCAGTTCTCTCATGATGGCCAAAAACAACGTCAGGCTTTTGAAGTCTCTTATATGCCAGCATGGCATCAGCATGGCAAGGAAATTCAAGGAAGGCAAAACCACGACTCAACCCTTCATGCTGGGCATCTGCAACCAGCGTAATGTTTTCAACACCTTCTATGCCATAATCCTTCAGTTTTTGTTTTATCTGTCATCAGACTACAACTGTAAGAAGAAAACAATCCTACTAGAAATTGTATAAAAAAATAAATTAAAACAATCTTACAGCTTCTTTTGTCCATGTATTGCAAATATTCCCCAAGAACAGTGTGTCATTGTCCTCACTTGGTGCAGTCCCACAACGCTTCCCACATATCTATGATTTCAGCATAATCAGAATAATATTTAAAGTATGCATATATATAATCCAAAATTGACATGGAAAAGATTCATACAACAGGGTTTTTCATTTCTGTCAAAGCACGACTGGCTTGCTCCTTGGTTGCAAACTTCACAAATGCATACCCCTTATTCTTGTTACTTGAGGGATCCTTGTGCAGTCGTACATCAACTACCACCCCAACGTTCTCGAACACCTTTTTAACATCTTCTTCCACAGCATCACGATCCAACCCACCCACAAATATCTCTAACTCCTTCTTAATCTTACGCTCTTTTGCAGCAGCATTTAATTGTGCATGCTCCTCGTCCAGGGTCTCACGTTCTTCACCATGCTCCAACACATCATCCTCCGCAAACTCTTGCACACCAGATTCTTCATGAACCTCTTCATCACTATATTCTTCCATTGTCTCACCAATGTGCACATCCTCCATTTTCTCGGTACCATGCAAATCCTCCTCTAGTTGAGCATCTTCTCCTTTCAACTTATTTTTAGCATCTTCCTCCATTTCAATAGACTCGTCATTGGGCTCCATGTTATCCTCAACAATGTTGGTCTCCTCTTCCACTTCTTCCGTCACCTCCCCCTTCCCCAAACTGGGTTCTTGATTCTCTGATGATTTGACCACATATGATGATTTCACCACATCCATAGCAACAGCATCCTCCTGTTCTAAGGATTTTCCAAGATTTCCATGTGAAGGCTGCGGCAACTCACTGGCTGCTTCTTCTTTCTCTGCAGGTTCTTCAAAATTTGCAACATTAAGATCCTCCCTTGTGGATCCCTCAACATTTTCAACAGCATGTTCTTCCTTTTTAGCGGATTCTTCAACATTCAGAAGAAGCAGCTCTTCCTTCTTTGTAGATTCTGCATCCTTTGTACTCTCTTCCTCTTTCTTATTTGTGGATTCTTCAACATTTACCTGTCCAGATTCCCCTGATTTAGAAGCCTGTTTAGAAGCAGCTCCAGCTGAAGCCGGGGTTTTTTTTCTCACAACTATTCTCTTTACAACCTTTCTAGTTGTTTTAGTGCCTGAAGCTGCTTTTCTTTCCGGTTGAACTGCATCAACTAACACTTTTTCTTCATCACCCACCCATCAGATAACAATAATTAATACGAGACAGTCAATATATGCATACATAAGGTATATATATAGAAGTATCAGCCCTAGTGCTTGAGTGTGCCCCTCTGAGAGTAAGCACAATTGTAAAATGTAAATTGTCAACACCATTTACAATATACCAGATCATATTGCTTTGTATATAGCAAAAAGCAATAACCTAATAGAGTGATAATATGCCACAAGCAAATTAAAATTAAAAAAAACATAATCTATCATCCAGGACCATATCAATCACGGGTTAAAGTAATTTAATACACATACACAAATCATGCATATCTTGTTACTACATCAATAATTACCATAATTAGATAACAATGTAACATAGATATATCGAGACATGAAAACCTTATTCTTGGATTGAAGGGGAACTATACATACCGGCAGGTTCAGGCTTAGATTCAGTGCTGGGACTGGGTGTGATGGGCTCGTTAACCTTCACTTGCTTCGCTCTGGTGGCCGAGGCACGCTTCGTCTCAGCAGACTTCGGTGTCACCGACGATTCAGGCGCTGGTTCGGTTGTGGCCGGAGGGGTTTTGGCGGCAGCTTTCCTGGCCGGTGGTGTCTTCCTCGGGGTTGTTGTCGATTTTGGCGTTTCGGTATTTCGAGTTCTCATGCTTAAATATATGTATAAACAAAGCAAAAGATTAACAGAACTCTGATGGTTCTGAGATGAAATCTAAAAAAAAAAACCCTTTAAATTGGCCTAGAAATCGAGAGAGAACAGAGGGGCGGAGAGAGAGAGATGAGATGATTCGTTTGTTAGTGAATTGAATTGATAGATATGGGCAATCTAGGTCTGGCGTCTCACGTCTGGGTGCCAACCGTGGATGTTTACGTGACAGTAGTAAGTTAAACAGCTTAAAACGGTACCGTCTTTGTTTCTTAATACTATCCAGGTAGACGCTTTGACCCGAATCGTGACCCAAGGTCCAATTATAGTAACCATTTTGATAAGTCTGAGCTATTGAACAAATTACTTTCTACTAATGAATACTAACGAATATGACTGATTTTAAAAGGGATGTTAGTGATCGTGGATTTATTTAAGATCGTCGAATAGGTTTATTGAAATCTATCACATTCTATATTACAGATTTGTTATTGTTTTTTGGGTTAATCTTATTTTGCACTCCGAAAGATTGTTCGAATCTTAATTTGTACCCTCAAAAATTAAAAATCTTAATTTACACCCTCAAAGATAGAAATTTATATCCATGTGCACCCTTAAAGATCAAAAATCTCAATTTGTACCCTCAAAGATAGAAATTTGTATCAATGTTCATCTCCAAAGATAAAAAATCTCAATTTGTACCTTCAAACATAGAAATTTGTATCAATGTGCACCTAAAATTAAATTAATAAATTATATCTTGATCCCCTCATGTTTGTCACTTAATCATTTGAACTCCTTCACATTTAGAATATTCCCCTTGCATCTCATGACGTTTATGCATGTGTAACACATAACCATTTTTTGTTGATATATATTAATATAATCGTTAAAAAATATGATTTTATCATAATATAAAATTATAATTTTATATTACCTTTTATTTTGTGGATTCGATATACTCTAAAGTTGAAAATCAAACTTACCATTTGAATGTCTAATAAAATGTAGATATTTATATAAAAGGTAATATGAAAAATATTATATAAATATTTATATTTTATTAGACATTCAAATGGTAAACTAGATTTTGAACTTTATAGTATATTGAACCTATAAAATAAATGGTAATATGAAATTATAATTTTTTATTAGGATAAAATTATATTTTTTAACTGTTATATTAATAGATATCAATGAAAATGGGTTACGTGTTATACGTGCACAAATGTCATAAGATGTAGGAGTAATATTCTAAATGTGAATAGGTCTAAATGATTAACTGACAACTATGAGGGGATTTAGGTATAATTTATCAATTTAATTTTAAGTGCACATTGATACAAATTTCTATCTTTGAGGGTACAAATTAAAATTTTTTATCTTTGGGGTACACATTGATATAAATTTTTATCTTTAAGGGTGCAAATTGAGATTTTTGATCTTTGGGGGTGCACATTGATACAAATTTCTATCTTTAAGGGTGTAAATTGAGATTCGAACAATCTTTTGGGGGTGTAAAATGAGATTAACCCTTGTTTTTTTTAAGAATTTAAATGAATCATATTGTTCACAGGGTAAAATAGACAAGTAACAAGAGTTATCCTCACAAAAAAAATAGGAATCAACCTATGTAACAAAACAAAACAAAACAAAAAATCTCAAATTTTAGTACTTGAAATTCAAAGGGAAGTGTGGGTATTGAGTTAGTCTTTTCCTCAAAATCTTGTATATTTGACGAGATTTTAGGCGGCTCAGCATCCTTAAGTTGACACGTGAACAATTATAACCGTTATGGACCACAAATGATGCCAAGAGAAAGAGCAAATGAGTTATGGCCCAGAAAAGCTGAATACACATTGATGGGCCCAACATTTAAGTGGATATGACAGCTCATTAATGAGGACTTGAGTGACTGAGACGGGCCCATTAATGAATATCCATATCCTCGAGACCTATGAAGACAGTCATCATTACGAAGCATTAATTGTCATGGCGCTGACCTGATGTTCTCGATAAACCCCAAGGTGTTTATTCTCGAGCAGTAAATGATTGGGCGTAGGTGTTAGGCACCGAGTATAAGTACTTAATGATCGAGAGATAGGCAATGAGTGCTCGGAGGATCCCGAGCACAAATTCATTTGCTCGAGGGGATCAGTCTTGAAGAGGTTTGATGGGATTGCACTCATTACGCCTGGATAAGAGTGCAATCCATTAAATGTTGATATGGGACTCAAAGATCCCTCAATCATTACTAATTCAAGTATAAATATCCCTTAGAAAGTTAAACAAAGGTACGCAAACTAAATCCATAAAATGCATTATGCTAATGTTTCCAACGCCGACTGACTTAGGCTTTGGAGGAGATTAGTCGGGTGTTCACCCGGCCCCTTTCTTGACCCTCTGATTATTTCAGGTTCACCATCCAGTGGATCGTTATTTCAACTCATTGTAGAAAATCACCCGTGCAATTTGGAGTCGTCTGTGGGAACGACAAACCAGTTTTCCCTATAATGATAGCACTATGGTGAACACACGATCCCAAGTTGAGTTGGGGGATAGCTTACGCGTGAGAAACGTGAAAGCTGCTGACCCTTCGCAATTGTTGTTGAATCACCATCTTTTAGCCTGTCAGGTGGAGCTCAGCATGCCTCGCAACAGACGTTATCGGTAGACCATAGCCTTAGGGGGCAAGGCATTTTAGCTCGTGAGATTGTAGAGTTGATGGAGAAATGAATGGGAATCCATTTGAAACGGCTTGAGAAAGACAACTCCGATGTGTGAACCCGACTAAATGAATTCGAGCGATCAAGGGAATCCAGCTGGCATGGAGATCGGAGTATCCACTTAAGTGATTCCCGGGGCACAAGGTAGGAGGCCCCAAGAAGGAACATGCATGAGCGCTTGGGTGAAAGGCGCGGGGCTCATCATTTTGAAGGGTGCACCCCAAAAGAAAGATTCGATTCAACCGCGAGAGAGCCTGGGGATAAAAGACCCCTAGAGGACCTTCGTATACACTTAGATGCTAAGCACCGAAGACCTCTTCGAAGGGAGGATTACGATGTTGAAGAAGAACAGATCGTCTTGCCATTCGTTCGAGCTATCCAAGAGGTCAAGATGCCAAAGAAATTCACAGTCCCCCGTTTTAAGGTATAAGACGGGTGAACTGATCCCGAGAGTCATCTACAGCAGTACAAACAGTTGATGTCCATCTATGATACCAATCTGAGGTTTCTGTGCCGAGTATTTTCCATGAGCTTAGGAGACACAATCATGAAATGGTACGAGAATATGGCCCCAAAAAGCATTAAGTCTTGGAAACAGATGTTCGAGCTGTTTATTGCTTGATTTATCACCATCAGCAACAGGCCCAAAGACATTGGTGCTCTTCTGACGCTCAAACGGAGGAATGGAGAGACCCTTCGACAGTATGTGATCAGATACTAGGAGGAGGTGAACGAGGTTAAGGCATGTTCAAAAACCATGGCGGCAGCGACATTTCGATTGGGATTATCTCGAGACATTGACCTATATGGATCTCTGACCAAATGAGCCCCTGTGGACACGAAGGACTTGATGGCCAGGATCAACAAGTATGCAAGTATTCCCTTGAGCCTCAGGAGACCCATGAAGACTGTTATCATTACAAAACAATAATTATTATAGCGCCGACCCGATGTTCTCAGCATACACCAAGGTGCTTATTCCCGAGCAATAAATGCTCAAGCGTAGGTGTTAAGCACCGAGTACAAGTACTTATGATCGGGAGATAGGCAATGAGTGCATTGACGATCCCGAGCACAGATTCATTTGCCCCAAGGGGATCAGTCTTTAGGAAGCTTGATGGGATTGCATTCATTTACGCCTGGATAAGAGTGCAATCCATTAAATGCTGAGATAGGACCCAAAGTTTCCTCAATTATTACTAATTCAGGTATAAATATCCCTTAGAAAGTTGAACAAAGGTACGCAAACTAAATCCAAAAAATGCACTGTGTTAATGTTTCAAACGCCGACTAACTTGGACTTTGGAGGGGATTAGTCGGATGTTCACCCAACCCCTTTACTAACCCTCTAATTGTTTCAGGTTCACCATCCAGTAGATCAATATCTCAACTCATTGCAGGAAATCACCAGTGCAATATTGTAATTAAGAATACATTAAAAACTATATTATTAATTAAAAGAGTTGTGGAGTTGGTGCCCACCAGTAAAATACCCTTACTTTCTTTCTCTATCAATTACTCATAAGTGGCTATAACTTCTTATAATTTATTTCTTTATCTCTCAACCTTTTTATATCTCATTTCTTCGTGGATGTTGATCTTTTGTTGTGCCAAAGGAATAGAAAGTTGTTTTGTTCGTTGGAAATGACACTGTTTTGGCTTGTTTTTCTTTCTTTTTTTTTTTTCCATCAAACGACACCGTTTGAATAAGACGTGAACAATACATCAAATGGCATCATTCTTCGTTCTTTGTTGCACACAATTAACCCTCTCCCAATCTCTATAATCTTTATCTCGCTTCTTTCTCTCTCTCCACACAGAGGCGAGGAAAGGGGATCTTATGAATTTGTGTATATATGTACATATATTTATACTAGTCAGTGCACACATGCATTGCATGTGGACTATTTTGATTAACAAATGAAATACACTATTATCTAAAGAATACAAATGTGATTCGATCAATAAAAAGTTAGCTAATAAGTTGCAATGATTTGTAGAAAAAAAATTAAAAATTAAAAGTTTTTCATATTAAGAAAGTTTTATTAGTAATACCGATATAGATTAATTCATTTTTTATTTTTTGCTTTGTCATCATCATAGTTCTTTTGAATCTTACCTTCATTGTGTACTTAATTGGTGATCAAGTAAAGCTAGAACATAATTTTTTACCACTTTACCAAACATCATAATGTGGTCTCAAGAATCCAAGAAGGCCAAAAAGGTCAAATGCAAGTATCACCTCCATATTGTCAAAAACGAAATAGGAGCATGCTTTGGTTCTCTTGTTATTTGTTTATTAAGATTGCATTCACTTTTTTTTTCCATTGTTGAGTGGTGATTATGTAATTCGAGTATTGGCAATACCTTCTTTATGATATGTACAATGATTTGTGTATATTACTCCTACAAGAGAAAAGAATAGGTGTTAATTGATCTATAAGGATTGAACCTAGGAAGAATAACTTATTTCCACTACAAAAGTTTTCTTAAAAAAAAATAAAAATTTAGCTCCTAACCACCTTGCACGTAGGCCATTGTTAATAAAACAAATAGTCTCTTAGAGCATCTCCAACCCTTACTCAAATTTAGACTCAAATTTAAATTTGAGTAAAAAAGTCTAAAAAACTTGCTTCAATGGAGACTCAAATCTTTACTCAAATATTTAATTGTGAGATTTTACTATCTTTTAAAGATTTAATTATCATCCTTACTCTCTTTTAAATTTGGGTTTGCCCTCATTTAAATTTGAATCTCTCCTTTCTTTAAATTTGAATTTGCCCATTGGAGTTTTTTATATCAAATCAAACTTTTTACTCAAATGTTAATTTAAATTTGAGAAAAATTTGAATCATGGTTGGATAAGCTCTTAGCATTTGTAAATTTGTATTCTAGAGAACTTTTGTATACAAGTTTCTTACGTAGGGCATGATAGTTGAATTTCACTTGGAGATCTTGTAGCAACTACTACTATATATTTTTTCTTTTTCTTTTTTAGGTTTGTTCAATGTAAGTAAGGCTATTTAGATGTTAGATTCTTGCTTAGGCATTTCACTTTATTCAAATTTCACTAATTGTTGAATTCAACATCTAAGCCAAAATAACATGATTAGACTTTTAGGTCACTCACTTGATCCTTAATATGTAGATATCAATCTTTCAGGCAAAAAATTTTAATGCAATTTGAGTTGTGAATATTTACCACTAATGGAACATTACCTTGGAGAAAATTATGAGCACAAGTCTATTGAGAATTAAGGCCTTGTTTGGTTATCATATGTAAAACAGTTTTTTGTTCTCAAAATTTTAAAAACACTCAAAACCTGTTTTTTTAGCATTTTTGTTCTCAAAATTTTCGAAAAAAAATGAGATTTGGAACACAAAATTAGAATGTTTTATTTGAAAATTATGAAAACACGAAAAACACACAAATCCTATTTACTGTGCACTTATTATACCAATATAAATTTTTTTTTTTTTGCATTATTTTTCCCTCATCTCTCTCTCTCTCTCTCTCGTGCCGACACCATGGATGTGTCTTCAACCCATAGATCCAGTGACTGGAAGGAAAGATCCAGTGACTGAAAGCACAGATCTGACGACTGCAAGCACAGATCTTTTGGTGGTGGTGGTGGTTATGAGTATTGGGTGGTTCTCGGTGTGGGGTTGATAGTGGTTGTGGGTTGTGACTTTGTGGGTGTTGTGTGGTTCTCGGTTTGGGTGGTGGTCTTAGTGGTAGGTGTTGGGTGGCTCTCGGTGTGGATTGGTGGTGGTTGTGGGTGTTGGGTGGTTCTCGGTTTGCGTGGTGATAATGGTTATGGTTATTAGGTGGTTCTCGGTGTGGGTTGGTGGTGGTTGTGGCTGTTGGGTGGTTCTCAGTTTGGGTGGTGGTCTTGGTGGTGGGTTTGGGTGGTTCTCAGTTTGGGTTGATGGTGGTTGTTGGGTTGGTGGTGGTTGTGGGTGTTAGGTTAGTGGTGGTTCTCGGTTGTGAGTGTTGGGTAATACATAGTGAAAGAGAAAGAGACAGAGAGTTGAAGAAATATGAGAATTGTGGATTATTGTCCAAAAAATTTTTATAATTTTTGTTCTTTAAAATTATTTTCAAAAATATATAACCAAACAAGTTTTGTAATCTAAATTTTTTTTAAAAACATTTTCTTAACACTCTTCTCAAAAATAGTTTTCAGATACTGTTTTTTGAGATGTAAACCAAACAGGTCATAAGATTTTCAAAACATCATCTGTAAAGTCTAAAAAATAATGTCTTCCCCTTCTTTGCGATATAGGATCCATAAGTTGATATGAGGCTCAACAAATATATTATATGAATATTTTTTAAATTTATTTTTTAGCAATAATAAAGTCTTATTAAAAATAAAAATTTATAACTTACTATCAAAAGAATAGAGATAATTCGAAAGTACTTTTTAAATGCAATGACTACAAGTAAATAAATAATTTGAAAAGATCACACCTTATCAAATTAAGCTAAGTTCTTGTTTAAGTGCCAACAATTATTTTTTTGCCTCTGAATTGACAATGATCACAACCTATGAAAAGACTTGAAAAGTTCACAACATTATTTATGAAATGTATAACTCCATTTCATGGGTCACACTTAAGTCAATTTAAAAACAAGGACCATCAAATGAAAATGCTAAGACACTTGTTCTATTAAAAGGATTATATGATTTACTAAAAACCCACAGTAATAAAAAAAATTTAAATGATTCTAAGAACAACGGCTTTATGAATCCATGACCAATCATGAAGACATTTTTGAATTTTAGATTTGGCTTATATAAGTTTATCGAGAAGAATCTTATCTATAATTACCCTCTCTTCTCTCAATACAAATAATACACATCACCCAAAACCCAAATTTTAAGCTTTATCAATTTTGGAGCACACCCATATCCACGAAAACAATGAAGATCAAACTTCAAGCACATTCACTCATATCAACAATTTCCACCACAAAGAACAAGAAAAATTAAGAAATAACATGTTTGTCTGAGTGAAGACCCATAAAATGAAGTTTTTCCACTCAAATAACCCTCTAAAATGAACCTAAGAACTATAGTTAGATTATGGGGCAAGAACAAATTGTTTATCATACGTTGTAACAACAACATACTGTCAATTTACATTGTGAAACACAAATGTTAAGGTCAAACAAATAAAGAATATCTACAAACAACAACGAAGCAAAAAATTGAGTGATAAACAACTTTTATGAAACAATCAAATTCCAGCATAAAAACTAACCCATGAGTTGTGCCTAATATAAAGTATAAAGTATCTTACCATGCCTTAAAACTAAGTCAGACCAGGAGTCATATATGAATCATATAAAATAAATTTGACATAAGTTACCTCAAAATTTCCAAACTACATAGTTTATTACTCCTACGTTATGGGGTACTAACCCTTGAAAAGCTTAGTATTTTGTCTTTGGATTTGGAAGTGTTTAGGTTGCTTGCTCTTATCATATGCATTATACATACATAACTTTGATGCATATAAATGGGATCCTTTAATTGAAGTAATAAGGGGAGAAGCTGAAAAATCGTCTTGAGGAGTAATCACAAAATTCTAAAAGGCCTATAACGGTTAAGAGTAAATATGAGACTCTTATCTTTGGGGTGTGTCAATTTATGACCCTTGCATTTAGGCAAGTAATTCAAGTAGCTTGATGAGTAGTAAATTATCTATAAACTAATGAAAATTATTAAAAAGAATATTGTTGTCTTTTTATACTTTGTTAAAGCCAATATAGTCATTCAATAGTTTTATATATATATATATATATAATAAAATCGGAGTGTGTTTGAATTTTGTCTCAGTCATATTTTCCCCTCAAAACCATCATTAATCGCATCATCTCTTTGTCAAACTCAAACGTCAAATCGCATCACTCATTTTTATCACCTATTTAATTATTTATATATTTCTTCCCTAAAAATATCACATCACTCATTTCTATCATGTATTTAATCATTTAATATTTGATTAATTTGTAGTTAATGTATTTTGAAAAAAATTAATATAATGGTATCGATTTTTTAGATGCTCGAATTTTATATTTTATCGTACCTTCAGGCACGAATTATAACTAGTATATATATAAGAAGTATAAACATAACCGACGTTGTTGGTATGACTTTCTGTGAGCAGAATTTGGACCCCCACCCCCAAAAAAAAAAAAAGAAATAATAATAATGATGAAATACTGGTTTTGTCCCCGGATAGGATTACCCTAACCAGCCTCATTAAATTTCGAAATATGGTGCATAAGCAAGCCACAAAAAAAAATAGAAACTCATGTGTGGTGAAAATTATTCAATTCATCCATCGAGAGAGAAAATTCAATTAGTTGGCCATGGGAAAAAAAAATTCTAATGCCCAAAAATATAATTTTGACCAATAAGCCTGTGAGTTGTGGTACATGTTGAGGAAACAGAGATATATACCTAAACACAACATGCATTACCAGGAGACGCAAACAAAAGTTTAGCTACATGAGGCTCAGAAACGTGTCCGTGCGTGTGTATGAGAGAGAGAGAGTAAATACCCGATTGTAATCTTCAAGCCAACTCTCTTCTTCACAAGCCGACATCCACTTTTCCACCTTGTCCAATATTTCTCTTCTGCTCAGGGCTTCTTCCTTTGCATTTACTATCTGATTATCCATGTCAGCCAGTAATTCAGACGGCTCAACATTCCCAGAATCAATAAGTGCCGTTATTTTTTCTCGAGCAGCCTCTGAATCAATTTCTATATGAGCTTGAACAAAAATCTCTTCGAGTTCAGCTTGCTTCTTAAAAGCAATTTCCTTCATCCTGCTAGCCTTAAGCTGATCAAGCCTTTCAACTTCCACTTCAGCCTTGACAACAAAAATAAGTAATGAATAAAAAGGCTTTCATTGTCTATTCGACTTAGATTTTACAATGTAGAGAACTCCAAATACCTGTTCAATCAAATCCAAACCAAGAGCTCCAGGGATTGTCACTCCATCCACTGAAGATGATATGTTGCAGGTCACATGATCGAACAAGCTACGCTCCTCTTGGGGAGAGTCCATCAAATTCCAAAGGTCAATTAGCTGAATTGCTAATTCTTGAAGCTGTGGGAGGATGATACGAGTCAAAAGGCGAGAGAGTGTAGATAGAGAGGGATCCGTAAGTGCAAAAGTTTTAACACTAAACACCCAAGAATAGGGGAAAAAGAGACCCAAAAAATATCAAATGCTTGACTCTAAACACTCAAGCACCACGGCACCTCTCATATGATGTGAAAGCTAACTAGTGTATGTATATGAAAGAAACAAGAATCCCAAAGGTATGAGATAATTCAGATACAATATCATACTTGGATATAATGATTGTAGACTGATTTTAACAAGATGTAAAGGTTGAATAAGTTATATTTCTTGTGGAAAAGAAAGTATATGAAGGGTTTTTTTAGATATTTTATTAATATTGGATAATCAATTATATAAGTGTCTTTAACCTTTTTAATAGGGACATAAGGGTTAATCAAAAAATTTTTACTTTTGTTGACATTTTATAGTAGTATATATATATACTAGTCATAACTCGTGCCTTCAGGCACGATAAAATATAAAATTTGAGTGTTCAAAAAATCGATCTCACTATATTAAATTTTTCAAAATATATTAATTACAAATTAATCACATATTAAATGATTAAATATATTATTAAAATACGTGATATGATATTTTTAGGGAGAAAATATATAATTGATTAAACATGTGATAGAAATAAGTGATGTAATTTGACGTTTGAGTTTGACAAAAGGATTATGAGAGAGGTAAGTGATTGGTGATAGTTTTGAGAGGAAAAATATGACTGAAATAAAATTCAAACACACTTCTATTTTATTATTGTAGGTTAATTTTTATTTAATATTTCATTATGTGAAGTCCTACACATATGTGGAGAAGAACTTTTTTGCCCTAAATCCAGATCTGAGCAACTTCGAACATAATTTTTTTTTTGCCCTAATTGCACATCAGTCGCTTATATCTCATCCTATGCTGATAAGGCAATTCGATGGTGAATCAAATTGAACGGCAAAGCAGCTTGTAGGCGTCGGCAATGACGACAGAGTCTTCGAATTTTTTGGGGCCAAGGGTCCTTGACGTTTTGGGTCTTCAACGTTTTTGGGGGAACTGTTTTACGTCTTGGAGGTTTTTGTTTGAATAGGGGTCTGATGTACTGTTCACGTCTTATTCAAACAGTGTAGTTTGATGGACAAAAAAAAAAAAAAAAGAAAGAAAAATAAGTCAAAACGATGTCGTTTCGACATAACAACATAGCCTTCTGTTCCTTTGGAGTAGCAGAGGATTTGCATCCCTTCTTCACAACGACACACAGGGTAATCGTGTACAATACCCACTAGTACAAAATAAATAAATAAGAAAAAAAAAACAAGCATAACTTGCAACAAATGAGATTTTTTCTAGCTTCACCATCCCACGAATGGCATATATCGAGTAAATTCCATAGATCCAACACCATGGTATTGTGGTGATTGGACTTGAACTTTCAAGGATATAGACCTCTCCATGATTGTCTATTTGACCATCTCGAACGGCATTTTAAACTCCCATTTCATGTGAAAAAAATGAAAAATCAAAAAATAAGTTAGAAATCACAACATTGAGATAATGAAGTCGAAAAAACATATGGTAATTGTTTTGAGGTAGAAGTGATTTTTAAGCCATATCAGATTTAGGACATGTCGTGTTGTGTTTATGTCATTTCATTTTAAGTTTATGATGAGTACAAATTAATTATATGGTATTCGAGTTAATAATTTTAATACATGAAACTCAAAATCTAGAACCGTGGCCATCTTCTCTCTTTACCAAACCCACCAACTATAGGCATTCCATAAATTACAAAACATACTCAATCCATTTACCATGAAAACCAGATAAAAAAAAATATTTTAATTGTACCAATATTTCATACAATATTTGCTTAGTGAGAGAAATAAAGAAGATGTTTCCTTCATAAGATACTAGTTAAAGTGGTTTGTTACGTTAAAAAAGGGCTTCTTCACATTTGATTCAAATTCATTGTCCCATTAAAATAGGAAACTTTTCATTCATTTTTGAAAACCGAAGGAATTTGAGGAAGTTTTGTTCAAATTTTGAAAAATCGAATTTTGGGGTCTTGATTAGTGGACAGATTATGTGAAAACGGTGAATAGAATCCGACAGTTTTCAAAGATAGATAACGTGTCCGTTCAGTTATCTTTGTGGGTATTTTTGGAACAAAAAAATTTTTTTCTCCACAAAACATTTTAATCGAAAAACTTTTATACAAACAAGTTCTATATAGAGAACCGGTCTACAAAAAACCCAAAGATCTATACAAATTATCAAAAAAAAGGTTCTTTCGGAGTCGGTACACCAAATTAGACATAATTGTAAAAATGTACATAGAAAAAAATATTTTTTTAAAAAAAGTACACTACTGAGATACAAAGATGTAAGTGTCCATTTTGTAAAATTTTCTTTCCTAAAAATTATAATAATGTATTTATCTTAACTGCTAAAATTTATGTACATTTATTTCAAAATTTTTTCATCTTCGATAATCGTTTTGTATACTCATTCTTCCTCACAAAACACCGGTTCATCTTCTTCGGAGAAACTTCTTAACTCTTTCTCTCTCTTCCATAAACAAGGAGAGAGATTCGACTGTGGAATGTACATTGATTGACAGAGGATTTGGGGTTATTGGCACAAACTCAAGAATGATGAAAATTTTGTTTGCAATTTGAAGAAGCTTTCGAATTTCGACATTTGTAAACCTAAAATAGGTGTGGATTGTTGCTCGTTGGATTGCATTTAATAAAGTGATAATTGAATTTCGCCATTCCATGTTCTTTTTTTTTTGGGATATTGGCATAATGAGTTATCCAAAATAAAAATATTATTACATTTATTTTGATTTTGGTGTTTTTTTGGTCAGAAAGTTCTTGTTCCCTAAACATCTATAGGATTTTGTTTTTAAAGGAAAAATCCTACTGTTCAGTCTATTTGATTTAAGATCGTCAAAAATATCTATTTTTTAAATAATTGTCTGTCATTTGAAGATACGTACAAATTTCAACATTTGAAAACCAGAACTAGTTGTTGAACGTTAATCATTGGTCTGTGTGGAATACAATGTTTTATGCCATATTAATTCATTGTGTGTGAATAAACTGTGTGTATCTCCTAATTACTGACTGTGTTTCTCTCACACTGTAACAAAGACAATGTTAAGTGATTTTTGTGGATGTGGTAACAAATTTAAAACAGAGATCAATTATTTGAATGAAATTATATGCAAATATATGTTTAACAAACTGTAATAGTGTAATATTTTGTATAAGTGTTTTGTTACACTATTATTGTTATACTGCTATTGTTACACTGATATGATATTTACATATTAAAAAATAGAATAATCACCTTTAAAATAATAAAAGATATTGTTGTAAAATTAAAATTCAAATCAACTGATTTAATCTCACAATAAACAAAAGAATCAAAGAATCAAATCTTTCATTAAATTGGAAGATTTTTAATACATACATTTATCCTTAAAAAACGGAAGGATCAAACCTTCCATTAAATTAGAAAATTTTTAATGCATACATTTATCCTAAAAAAACGGAAGGATCATATATTTCATTAAATTATGAGATTTTTAATGCATACATATAATCTGAAAATAAAAATCAGTTTTCAAAAATGAATCGCATCAATTGAGGGAGCACAAATGTCAAAGAAAAATCCAAAAAATTTCAAATTATGTACTTGGACATAAATAAGAAATAAAATTAAGGATTTGTTTCCTCTACATTTTTTTCTGTGTTTTTTTTACAATGAACTCCACAAAGAAAGGGTTTCAAAATTTGAAATTCAAAAAAAATGATGTATTCTAAAACTAGAGATGTTTAATGCATAAATAAACAAAAAATTAAAGTAATCTCATAAAACTAGGAGGATGTTTAATGTATAAATGTAATTTTAAAAAAGAACCACTTTCAAAAAAAAAAATATGCATAAATTAGGGGAGAATATAAAGGTCACAAGAAAATCTGAAAATTTCAAGTAATGTATTTGTATACAAATAAGTATCAAAATTAAGAATTCTTTTATTTTATATTTTTTTTCTGTGTATTTTTTTTTTGCAATTAACTTCAATTTCGTGTACCCCTTCCAATTTTTTCCAAAAAAAAATGACAAATCTAGGGGCCAGGCCCAAAAGAATGCCCACGCGGGTGACCCGCGAAAATTGGGCCGAAAAAGAGTTGACTCGATTAGCTCCACGGACTAAACAGTCTATAACTGAGATAGTCCCATGGTTGAAAAAGAAGCTGTCTTCAATTTTCCGTCCGGCGGAGGCGACGATCGGAGAACATCCCTAATTGAGCAATCGCTCACCAGAACCTATGTTTGTGAACGCACTGAAAATTGATCGGTGAATAGAATCGAATTGAACCGAACCGATCCTTACCATCCTCTTCCATGGGTTCGTCAGAATCAACTCTCTCGAGCTCCCCGGTAACTCTTCAAATTCAACCTATGATTCTCTCCAATTTTTCACAAATTTTTTTTTTTTCTCGTGTTAATTTTGCGTTTTGATTATTTTCATGAAATTGTTCTTGGATGTGTGAAGAGGCCGGACGATGAGGTAACAACCGTCACCGAGAGATCAGAAGTCGAAGATCCACTCCTGGAAAGGCTCAGATCCCTCAAAATTGTGAGGTTTTTTTGCTTGTCTACATCTTCTAGGGTTTGTCTTACTTTTTGTCCCTCTTATTCATGTTTGTATACACTACGGGCAGGCAACTCCATTACTCAAGTCGCCACCACCAGAGAGTAGCTTGACGGACATTCTGGTGAAGAAGCCATCATCATCATCATCTTCTTCTGGTAACATAATTAGCCAGTCATCTTTTTCCTGGGTCTTATGTATATGTATATTAATTTATATCCTCCGTACTCCAAAAGACTGATTGGGGAGTTGAAACTTGAAATTTGTATCAGTTGGCGGTGCTAAATCCTCAAAATAAACTCTGAAATAGACAGAAGATGTCACAAGAAATCCAGTTACAGTTATCGTCCTCAATATTATAGTAATAGTATATATATTTTCTAAAAGCTTCACGTATAACCCACGGTTTGAATATCATGTTTCTGTTTAGCACATTACCTTTTAAGTGGGGAATCCAAGCTAAGGAGAGGATTCAGAAATCAGAAGGTAGAAGGTTAATGGTAAAATTTGGTGGTTCACCTCTTGAAGATGAATGTTAACATTATATGAGCTTGCTCTAAAGTTTGAGGTTATTCAATCTTCTGTTGAAGAGGGTCAAGTCTTCAAACAGCCTCTATCAGCATAATTTCTACTTCCAAATTATGAAACACAAAAAATTACGAAGTTTGGCTCAAAACCTACATCCCGTAAAAACTAACAAAATGCAACAGCAAAAGTTCACCATCAAAGACAAAGTCTACTAAGAGTGTGGTAGCGAGAGAAAGAGAACTAGTAAATCAAACTATCCTGAATTTGTAAAGTGTATAGTACCCAAATACCCTTGATCCTAACCAAAATATGTGTTTCAGATCTTGATGAGAGCGGGCTTCCAAAGCTCCATCAGTCACCTATTCGGTTCATATTCAAAAAAATGGGCTTTTTTTTCTCTTTAGTAGGGAAATTAATAGTGCTTGAGCTTGAATGAAGCATTGTATGCTATTGTGTGTGCATCAACATTGTGATGTCAATGGACCGAAGCGGGAGCGGGGGTATGGTTTTCATCCCCATACCCACTTAAAAAAATTTGTCCATCCCTAGTCTACCCCCGCTAACGGGTATAATTTTCATCCCCATTCCCATGCTCGTCCGCGGATAAATTTCTAATCCTTGCCCTCGTCCTCGTCCCCGTTTCCCCCGTACCTGCCCAAGCCCAAGCCCAAATTCAAGTCAACATAATCCAAAATTCTAAATAAATCAAACATTTTAAATAATACCTCACTATGAACAAGAAATAGATCACAAGATGATATCAAGGAAGCACAAACATTGAAATTTTGAGTCATGAAACTAAGCAGTAGAGAATCAAAACTCACACTTTAGCCAAGTCTTACCACTGACAACTAGAATTACAAAATGTCAAAAAAGTTACAGTAAGAATTGGGAGTTTATTTATTAATATATATATAACGGGTAACAGAGACGGGACGGGAGTAAAGGTAAGTCCATCTCCACCTTCATCCCCATCTTTATTCCCGTACGGGTTTATACGGGTATCCCCCATATATGTTCACTGTCCAATACGTATAGTCCATTCTCGGTCCAAACGGGGTGGGTTTGGACGAATATCCGTTTTTTTCCGGTCTACTGCCATCTCGTCATGCCTTTTATGGATCAATAAAAGTAGTTGGAGTACTGTAGTTTTGTTTTTGAAATCTTCAGTTCATGGTGAAAATTTATCTCAGCAGGAATTAGTAGATGTTCTGCAAAGGCAGGCCAAAATTCAAATATTTGCCAGGACCTATGTGGGGAAGCATACCACTTCGCCTTGGTAGCAAAACCATTTTAGCAGAGCGAATGTGAGGGTTGGTGGAATGCATTGGCATAAAGAAATAGGGGCAAAGGCAATAAGAAAGGCATTTAGGGACAATGCTGGAGACTTGCCACTGCTCAAACTCACAGCTATTGTAGAGAAAGCAATTTGTCTTGTGTTCTGTGCCAGCCATTGAGTGCTTTTTGAACATGTTAGATCTTCACAGGATATTTGAAAGTTTCTGGTCTTTAAAAGCATAAATGTTTTTCAACATTGTATGTTGTCTCTTGTGCATTCAAATAATACCCCTAGCAACTTAAACTGGAAGTTTACTAAGACTTCTCATTTGAATAATCTGCAGAATAGGATAGCAATTCGTCTCTAAGAGAGGTTATTGCAATTTAAAGGAGGCTCAAGTCTTGTGAAAGCTCTGAGTACTTCATTTTATAATTATGTTTACTCTGTCCTTCTGACTCTGAAAATAGCCATCGTGTCGAGTATTAAACCCCAACTACTAATTCATTTGCATGCATAAGTGTGTGCTTTTTAGTTAGATATGTAAGGTCATTTTTGTCTTATGTGTGTAATTCACTACTGTTCTTTACAAATGTGAAGGAAGATTGTGCAGCATTTATTGTGTTTGATCTCATTGACAGTGCAAGTGCAGATAGCATCTAACAGGATTGTCTATCATTTCAGCATTTGACCCTTCTTCCTTTTGCTATTGTGGTTATTTACAGGGTTGCAATTTAATTAAGTTGGTTTTACTGGCTTCTTTCTTCCTTGTAGTTTCCCACTAGTTTGCTTTATGCAATTTTTTTTGTTAGGAAACACAATTTTATTAAAAGATAAATGATGTAGTACAAAAGTGAACTCATGGATGGGCAAGTCATCTATCCAAATGTTGCTTTATGCAATGGGGCAACTTTGAATGATACATGATATGTTGACAGGCCAAAGATTATTTCATTTCTCCTATGTCTGGTTTAAATACATGAGTCCAAACAATATTGACCTGCCAACAATTAATATTTTTCCCCTACAATTGACATAGGTACTGTAAATCCGAATGTGCTACTGGAGCTCTTCACGATGTACCGTGATTGGCAGGAAAAGAAGGCCCAAAAGATTAGTGAAAAACAGGTTTGCTTGATAAATATCATTTGTGTTTGAGCTGAGTTCAATACGCATAATTGGACTTTGGGATGGTGACGAAGATTGGATCTGCAGCATAATTTTATGAATCTTTGCGTGAATTTATTGTTTATGACTATCTGCACAGATTAGGGTTGGAGTTTGGTTTTAAGATTGAGATTCCTATGTACTCAAAGGACTTGCATAAATTGGGTTTAGATTCCCTTGGTCTTTGAAGGGTGATATATGGTAATCAGTCATTTAAACATTCTGTATGAAGATTTATTTTATTCCCTGCACAAGAATTCATGTTGATCTGCTTCTTATTTAGAAAAACTAATCTACTTAATTTCTTGGAGTAGGATGCTAATGTGAAGGTTCAATCGTACAAAGGCTGTATGACAGAGAAATTAAGTGCATGTAGCTTATGTAACTCGGGGAGGAGGCATTATGTGTACTTTTGATTGTTTTCTTTACATGATCATAGTTGTTAAATTGCGTATCGAAAGACGTATCATTTTTAAAAAATAGTGTATCGTATCATGTATCGAAAAATACGCGTAATTTTAAATAATTATTAATAAAATATATATATACTTTTGTAAAAAAGTCATAGACTCATAATAACATTGCATTTCATTAATATTCCACTAACTATTCAAGTTCCCAACATAGTTCAGTAATATCAAAATGCAAAAACCTTTAATTCAAACTTTTAATATCAACTGCTTGACCAACCTTAATATTAATTAGGAATTTTGAATTCAATTGAACAATATTAATAGCAGACTCAATTTTTTTTTTTTTTAAATCATAACCACTAAAATGTCGTTGTTTCACTGGTTAGTGATTTAAAAATAAGTTATTGAGTGAAACGATATCATTTCAGCCCCAAAAAAACCAAAAATAAAAAAATAGAATCTTCACGTATCGTATCGTGTATCGTACAATACTAATAACTATGCACATGATAATGAACTGATTCCTGATGATACTCTAAATATAGGGCATTAGCATGATAAATCCATTCTTGTTGATGTCACTCCTAATCTGGAACAATTTTGTTATCTTGTTACTACTTGTGGCCTTGACAATTTTTGCTTCTCAAATCCTTTTGGGCCTCATGTTGAACTGATTGGCTTGCTTTGCATCCACTCCTTATTATAAGTCGCATAATATGTTTGTCACATGTGCTAAGTTGGGCAATAATTTTGTAGGAAGAGATGGAAAACAAGATAGAAGTTGCAGATGCTTTGGCAGTTAAGCTGCTTCAACGTTTCAACTACTCTGTCTCGGGAATGAAGACGATCTCACATCATCTCTCTGCAGGTAATGTGTGATCCTCTTATCTGGATTCTGGAATCTCAGTTAGCCTTGTTGGATTTGGTTCCAACCCCAGAATAGCAAATTTTAGTTTCTCCTGGGGGCATGCTGTCATGGCAGGAAAATTTCAATGGCATCAAAATGCTCATATTTTGAATTTGAGTTCGATATAGATTTTATGGTTTCTCTGCTTGCCACCTGAGTTTATGTCCGGGATTGCGTGCAGTGCATTCGTTGCAGGTGGAACTCGGGAATTTGAAGGGAAGGTTGACTGAGGTTATCAGCAACTGTGATGCATTATGCAAGAGAATTGATATAGAAGGACCAGAATCGCTTCGGTCATCTGTCAAGCCATTTGCAGCTGCCTCGTCTGACTTACAAACTAGCCTTAGCTCACCTCTGCCGAGGGTGTCAAAAGAAACCTAATTACNGCAAAAACCTTTAATTCAAACTTTTAATATCAACTGCTTGACCAACCTTAATATTAATTAGGAATTTTGAATTCAATTGAACAATATTAATAGCAGACTCAATTTTTTTTTTTTTTAAATCATAACCACTAAAATGTCGTTGTTTCACTGGTTAGTGATTTAAAAATAAGTTATTGAGTGAAACGATATCATTTCAGCCCCAAAAAAACCAAAAATAAAAAAATAGAATCTTCACGTATCGTATCGTGTATCGTACAATACTAATAACTATGCACATGATAATGAACTGATTCCTGATGATACTCTAAATATAGGGCATTAGCATGATAAATCCATTCTTGTTGATGTCACTCCTAATCTGGAACAATTTTGTTATCTTGTTACTACTTGTGGCCTTGACAATTTTTGCTTCTCAAATCCTTTTGGGCCTCATGTTGAACTGATTGGCTTGCTTTGCATCCACTCCTTATTATAAGTCGCATAATATGTTTGTCACATGTGCTAAGTTGGGCAATAATTTTGTAGGAAGAGATGGAAAACAAGATAGAAGTTGCAGATGCTTTGGCAGTTAAGCTGCTTCAACGTTTCAACTACTCTGTCTCGGGAATGAAGACGATCTCACATCATCTCTCTGCAGGTAATGTGTGATCCTCTTATCTGGATTCTGGAATCTCAGTTAGCCTTGTTGGATTTGGTTCCAACCCCAGAATAGCAAATTTTAGTTTCTCCTGGGGGCATGCTGTCATGGCAGGAAAATTTCAATGGCATCAAAATGCTCATATTTTGAATTTGAGTTCGATATAGATTTTATGGTTTCTCTGCTTGCCACCTGAGTTTATGTCCGGGATTGCGTGCAGTGCATTCGTTGCAGGTGGAACTCGGGAATTTGAAGGGAAGGTTGACTGAGGTTATCAGCAACTGTGATGCATTATGCAAGAGAATTGATATAGAAGGACCAGAATCGCTTCGGTCATCTGTCAAGCCATTTGCAGCTGCCTCGTCTGACTTACAAACTAGCCTTAGCTCACCTCTGCCGAGGGTGTCAAAAGAAACCTAATTACTGCAGAAACCAACTTACACCGATTCTTTTTTACTTTTTTTTCCCCATTGTACATTTCCAAAGCTTGGTAGGAATTACACTTACTGTTGCCCCCTACGGCAGTTTGATCATTGTATGCTTATGGCCCACCCTTTATCTGGTTAAGTATAAACTTGCGCTGTCCAGTTGTTTTCGTGAACGCTGGAACACTGAGGATATCAACAAACCCTACCACGATTCATTGTCATTCTGGTGATTGTTGACAGAAACTTGGAATAAAGGACAGCTAAACCTGCATAAATTTTTGGTTCTAACCATACCTCCTATTTTGTTACGAATGAAAACTTCTTATTATTTATTTTATTGAGCAATGCTATGTAATCTAAATTTGTATCTCAAATGAAAGAGACAATTGGATTAGTGTGTCTCGTATAAAAAAGTTGATAGAGTTCACTTATTCAATGGTTCTTCATTTGGGATATTATAAATTTGAATTGTAAATTTGAGTTACATAATATTTTTCTAGTTTATTATAGCACTTTAGTATTATTTTTACGGTCAACTGTCATGAGTAAATTAAAAAACAATCAAAGTTTGAAAATTATTTAAAGATATAGCACCGAAAGTGAAATTTTTCAGTACCATAATGTTATACTAAACTTTTACCAAAAAATATGATTAGAACTCACGGTCCTTCCTACCAAAATGGGTGCATTTGCCTGCCAGTCCCGTTCATAAGGTAGTTCGATTTGGGGTCAATTCTCTTAGGCTTAACTTTAGTGGTTTAGAGTAATTTTGCCTTAAAAGAAATTCTTCATTACCCAAAAAAAAAAAAGTAGAAAATGATTAGAACAATGTCTTATATTTATATTAGTTGTGTTGCCGACAGACCTCTGTAAAAGTTTATCTGGTCGCTGTATTTAAAAGTCAAAGGGATGTTTTCTTTTATTTTATATTATTTTTTTATTTTAGTGTGTTTAAATTTATACCGATTATTCTCTTAAATTTTGAGATTCATTATTATAATTCAAATTAATTTTAAGAACATGTCCTTTAAAAAAGAAAAATAAATAACTTTTAAAAAATATTGAATTTAAGACTCTTTTGTTTATAAAAAAACATACTTGATCATTAAACCAGCCAAGATTGACACCGCACCTTGAAGCACGCAACTGATCGACACTCAAGGTGACATCCACATTACTATTAGCTGGAAAACAAAAGAACCGAGCTGCCTGCCGACACAAGTCATTAACCTCAAATAATGTGACCGAACTGACTTAAACGGAGGGCGGAATTGTTAATTCAACAGTTGGCTTGGTAGCAAATATTCACCCTCTTCAACAATATGTCCCAAGTGCAGTATAAAACCCCGTAACACGGTGATCGAGTAACTTGTAGTGTGTCCTTTAGAATCTTCCTTGATTGTCACGAGATTAGCCAAAAAAAAGTTCAATTCAGGGTGACAACCCTGTGGTGTGGGCTTCTTTCACGAGTTTTGGCTGTTACGGTAACACCGGATTTCACGCGATTGTCTAATATAACCACCACATTTAACTACCAATTACATAAAAGATTCAAACACAAAGCAGAGTGCCACTTTAACAACTAAGGTTTTTATATTTATATATTTATATAAATTCCCTCAAAATACATAAACGGATTTGAAAAACATTGGAACAATCTATAACATTATGGGCCTTTAATTAACCTAAAATAATTGAAAGGACTGCAGAGTGAGAACAATAACACCCACCTTCAAAGTAAAGCAAAGGAAAAAATGTTGAACTTGAAAACTCCCAATTGAATAGAACAGTAATGATGGAAGAAACAAAGAACTGTGAATCTGTGCTCATGGCTGTTGCTGGGCATCCATATACCCTGCATCAACAAGCACTTTCTCTCTCTTCGCCAACTCAACATCCTCATCAACCATCATCTTCACCAACTGCTCAAACCCAACTTTAGGCTTCCACCCAAGAACCTTCCTCGCCTTGCTCGAATCACCCTTCAAATTATCTACCTCCGCCGGCCTAAAATACCTCTTGTCGATCACCACATGGTCTTTCCAATCCAATCCGACATACCCAAATGCCACTTCCAAGAACTCCTCCACCGAGTGCGATTCCTCCGTCGCCACCACATAGTCGTCCGGCTTATCTTGCTGAAGCATCATCCACATTGCCTCCACATAATCTCCGGCGAATCCCCAGTCCCTCGACGCCTGTAAATTACCCAGAAACAGCTTGCTCTGCAGCCCAATCTTGATCCTCCCAACCGCACGAGTAATTTTTCGGGTTACGAAATTCTCACCACGACGAGGCGATTCGTGATTGAATAATATGCCATTGCAGGCGAAAATCCCATATGCCTCTCGGTAATTCACCGTGTACCTATACCAATAATTTGATCAAATCAATATATGAAAAATGGTTCAAATTTCAAAATGTGTATAGAGATTCAAATTCAGGGATTTATACTACCAATGAGCGGCGCATTTGGAGGCTGCATATGGAGAACGAGGGTGAAATGGGGACGATTCAGACTGTGGAGGTGGAGTAGATCCGAACATTTCCGATGATCCGGCTTGGTAGTATCGGATGTCAGTCCGTCCGGTGTCGGAGATGTGTGACCGGACGGCCTCGAGGAGACGAAGAGCGCCGGTGGCGACGACATCGGCGGTGTAATCGGGGATCTCGAAGGAGACGGCGACGTGGGACTGGGCGGCGAGGTTGTAGACCTCATGGGGGTGGATGGTATCGATCCAGCGGCGGAGAGACGAGGCGTCGGAGAGATCGGCGTAGTGGAGTTTCATGCGAGCCTTGTGGGTGTTGTGTGGGTCGATGTAGATGTGATTAATGCGTTGGGTGTTGAAGTTGGAGGATCTTCGGATCAGGCCGTGGACTTCGTAACCTTTGTTGAGGAGGAATTCAGTGAGGTACGATCCGTCTTGTCCAGTGATGCCGGTTATCAGGGCTATCCTCCGCTTGAGTGGTGGTGATGCTGGGGTTTCGCTGCCGTTGGCGGTGGTGGATCCGGATCTGGAAGTGTCATTGTCGGAGGCCATTGTTTTTGACTGTGGTTTAGTCGTAGTAGATGGGGATGAATGGAAGAGAGAGAGAGAGAGAGAGAGAGAGAGAGAGAGAGAGAGAGCGCACCGGTGATTGTGCTGAGAAATGAGAAAAGACCAGAGCACTTGATAAAGGGGCAGCCCACAGCCCAACCCCGTAAGGAAAATATTTATAGCAACATCCCTATGATTAAAGACAATTTGAATGAATATCCGTATATTTTCAAAACTTACACCGACATCCATCTTAAAGTTGCTGGTTAATGGTTAATGGTTAATGGTTACAGAAGATGGTGAATTTTCAGTTTTGTCTTTTGTGGAATCGCACTTTATACCCGAAATATTTAATAATTATCATTTTATAAATTAAAATAATAAATTTTTTACATTACACTCTTAATGTATTAAAAGTATTGTCGTTAACTTCTGTTTTATTGAATGAACAAGAACTTAATGAGATAACACATTACATTACAGCGCTTCTAATATATTGAAGACGTGTGAAAAATTTATGTTTTGAAAGTATAAAATGAGAATTTTTAAATAGGTAAATTTTATAATTAGTCTTTAAACTTTGACTTGAGTTTCAATTTGATTCTTAAACTTTCAATTGTTTCAATTTAGTCCCCCACAATTAATTTTGTCTAAGTTAAGTCAATTTTCATTATTAAATCAAATGAAAACATATGATCTAAGGGTAGAAATTGATTCACCCTACCCTACGGATAAAAAATATAATTTTTCGTCTTCCTACCCGATACTTTGAGAAATTTTTTTTTCTTAATCTACCCTACACGATCCCGATCAGGTGTGGTATTCCTACCTGACTTCCTACCCGATTAATCGAGTAGGAAGTCGGGTAAACACTTTTATAACTATTAATTTTTAAATCATTTTAATAATTCAATTAAATAAGATACATCAATTTAACAACACACTAAAATCTAAAATAATTACAACAACAATTATAATAAAATATAAGAAAGTATGAACATCAATCTATCATAAACGTTACACAAATATAATAACAATTATTTTAAGTTTAAACCATATGAAACATATTAAAATCATAATTGCTCTAATAGATCACCAGTTCACCGCAAATTATGTAACCTACATAAAAATAAATTCATATTTTCGCAACTCAAACATCCACAACAATAACAATGTTATAATATAAATTATATCACACAAATACTCTTATAATTACTAAAAAAAACTATAAAAAGTTAAATACAATATTTACGGGTAGGGTAGGGTAAAAAAGCGCAAATTGATAAGTATTTCGCATTCCTACCCGATTTAATCGAAAAACCAAAAACTCTTTCGCATTTCTACCGAAATTTTGCGACTAGCCGTTCAGTAGGGTAGGGTAAGGTAGAAAATTACAACCAATTGAAAATTTGAACGCCCCTAGTTGAGGAATTAAATTGAAACAAATAAAAGTTCAGGGACTAAATTGAGACCGAAAGCAAAGCTCACAGACCAATTATAAATTTGACCCTTTTTACAAATTTCAAAGTGTAAAATACAATTTCGTTTGCCTTTCTTTTATCAACTTTGACATGGATAACATTTTTGTTTTTTCTGCCAACAGTATGTATACAATACAACTAACAAAGAAAGGAGATTTAGTGCGAGGTTCAGAGAGAAAAATATATGACACTGATAATGTAAGAAAAAGAAACGGCAATTCCTTTGGAAGATATGGAACAGCGTTGGATTGCACTAACAAACAATCTTAGACAGGCTTAAAAAATGAAATTTAGAAGTTCAACTTGAAGTTGAAGTGGTAATAGAGGCGAATTATAAATTTAAATATTTTAAATTTAAATTTTAATAATCTTTTAAAGTCAGACTATAAATAATTTATTTCTCATGAATATCTTAATCTCAATATGGATAGTCTATTTTTGATCAAATCAAAAAAAAAATTATTCAAGTTGTGCCTAAATTAACTCAAATATTCTTGATTATTAAAAAAAAAAAAATTCTAAAAGTGTTAGAATTGAACGACTCAACTCTGGAGCCACATGCCCCAACCATGCCCCCTTTTGATACGCAACTCTGGGTGGTGTTTGCAGAACCTCAAGAGGAGACTGGAAAGTGCTTGAGGCCAAAAATTTTTAGTACCTTATTTCTCAACTAACCATCCACAAAATAAATTTAAAATGTTATATTTAAATCAAAAATATTATAATCAAATATCAAATATTTTACATTTTATAATTAAAATTCAAGTTCTATTGTATCATTTATTAAAATTAAATTTTAGTTTTTTCTTATATAATCGTAATTAATATACAATTATATTCTTTATTGGAATAAAACTAAAAAAATCAAATAAAAAGTCTAAGTCATTCATAATAAAACATGAATTTTATAATCAAAATTCATGTTTTATTTCGTTATTTATTAAAATAAAATCAAAAATAACAATTTAATTTATCTTCTAAAATCATAATTAAAATACAATTATATTATCTATTAAAATAAAATTAAAAAATCAAGCAAAAAATCAAACTATAATGGACAAAATATCTTTTAACTTTAATTGAAATAATTTAATTGTTTAAACGATCAAATTAAATTCTAATAAATAATATAATTGTATACTATTTAAAAAAAAAATTATTTCAATGAATATCGTAATAAAATATATATTTTGATTATAAAATTTAAAATATTTAATATTCTATCTTTAATTAAAATATTTTTAGTCCAAATATAATATATTAAATTTATTTTGAGAGATATAAATATTACATACATATAAACTTTAAAAAGTCTAGATATAATTTACTAATAAATATACTGACGAACATTGATGGTAGAGATCCAAGTGTTACTCGCATGCAAACTTCAAGAGATGTGTGTAATATTTCAAATGTCAGGAGGCCTGAATGATTAAATGGCAACCTAAAAATATCTCCCCCCAAAAATTAAAGATAGGACCATTAAAAAACAAACAAGAGAATTTTGAACATGAAGTATCAGAATTGAAAGTTGAGGATCAAAAGAAGACCAAACGTTTACAACATCACAAAGCATAGAAATTCACCAGCCCTCGAGCATCATAGTACTACCAGCTTATGCTCTGTAACTTCGTCCAAGGAAGGCCATTCAATATAATTCCTGTGCCACAGCCAAAAGAACAGATGCAAATGTATACACACCTACATAATAGATAGATACACAGCAACTAGCGCGCGCTCGGGGTGTGTGTGTGTGTGTGTGTGTGTGTGAGAGAGAGAGAGAGAGAGAGAGAGAGAGAGATTATCAAACAAGAAACCCACAATAACCCATGGTTTAGGTCTTGGATGGAACCATACGAGAATTCTCAACTTCTCCCAACAAAAGTCAGGAGCAGAATTAAAACAATGCAATGTCTTCTCAAAACATTTGACAAGGGTGTCCAATAATATAGTTCTAAAGCAATTAGCAACAATGAGTAAGTACAGCCGTAGGTATTGGAATTGTTGATGTCAGGCCAATATACGACAAGATCATCATCAAGCTGTTCTCTTGATGATGTGTACCCCGCTATCAGTGTCGACTATGTCACTTATCTCACCAACTGCCAGTGCATACGTTGCATCTTCAAAAGGCTTCTGCATTTGCCCCTTCCCAAATGAACCTACATGATGTATATTTGTGAATAGCCCAGTTTAGTTCAAAACGTCAAGGGACATGCTCACACACGGACATCTTGGAATATGTTGTTCATACAAAAAATTCTGAAGTCCTCAAAAGAATAAACAACTAAATAAAGCACAATTCACTCTATCTAGTTGTCATGCAAATTGAGAGCAATGCTATACTAAAAGGAAGCAATACAAAGTTATCTGGATTTAATAATCATATTTGCAGCCGGCAAAATTTACTATCTCTTGAGCTTACATTCAAATCCTTGAACAGGCTCACATTTCATCCACTAGGTTTGCTACTTTCCAAAAGTTGCTGAAGTCTTAGGCATATCGTAGAGAAGGGGGAAAGAATGGTGAAAAAGCACAATCTGAAGACTTGTAACCATATCCAAAAATATATATCAAATTAGCCTCACTTCAACAGGTAACAAGGATCAAATTGACTTTACTGATATAGATCATTTAAGATGGGGCTATTTATGACAAATTTATAGCAACTCCATTCCTACAGCACAAGCTGGTAATTTCAAAGGGATATAATTGCTTAAAATCCGTCACTGATTGTGTGGACTCCTAAAAACATTGCTGATGAGATTTGTGACGCATTCTAATCATCTGAGAGAGAACTTGGTACCTGGGTATTGCAGGACACTCAATCACAACAGGTAATTTAGTAAATCTCAAACTCATCCAGCATTGCCAAAATCATTGCTTATCTTTCCCCCCCTCCCCACTGAGCTTTAATGTGAACAGTGTTGGCCATGGACTGTAGGATAGTTTGTTTTTATCCTTTCTAGGATTTTCCAAGATATAATTTACAAAGCAATCTTCCTACAAGTTTGCAGCTGGAGGTTTTTCGTTTCCATATCACCATAAGTCCAACAAAAAACAAGCAACCTTTTGCCAACATGAATGCGATATGTATGTGTATATTTCGTGGCATATGAGGAACTGACCAAGGCCCCATATATAACTGATTTGAGGTTAGAGTATCCCCAGGGCCACATCTTTTTTGTACAGGATATTCAGACTTGAACTGATGACTCCCTCGAGTTCGGATATTAGCCACTACCGTAGCCCAAGCAGGTTTAAAATAACAATGACTGACTAGAGTATGCAGGTTTAAAATAAGGATGACAGACTAGAGTATGAGAAGTGATGAACCTGATACCTCTAGGTTACCAAAAGCCTTGCTCAGCCGCTGAACGACACCTAAGGTTTTTGGTAACACATCTATGATAGCTTTATTCTATCTATTTTGCGGATGTTGATGATTGTTATTTGTGTGTCAACCAATTTTCCACATCAACATATTACATACCAATCTCTCTGTTTTTTTCCTATCGAATTTTTCTCAGGAATCAAAGGTCTAAGTAGGCAAAAACACATCCACTCATGAATATGAATACAACAAACTAAACAAGATTGTCATCCCAATCTTACTAAGGAAAAGATTGGCATTCCAATCTTACCAAGAAACTTCAAGAAACTAAATAAATATTTTAGATCACAAAGTACCGATCATGGTGGATTAAAGAAAAAGACAAAATATCCAATTGAGTGAACGAAAGACAACACAATAAATTAAATCCAAATTGTAATTTCATTTTCTTTCCCAATTTCTCAGCAATCAAACAAAAGCTATAAATAAACCAAAAATCACATAAATCTAACACATAAATATGAAGTAAAGTGGAAAAATATTAAAAAAAAAAAAAGGAAACGTAAAGAACTGACCGAGATCGCCGCCGCGTTTGGCGGAGTTACAGTCGGAGTAACTAGCGGCGACGTCCTCGAACTTAGCTTCGCCGGAAACGATGTCACCACGGAGGGCTTTAAGCTGAGAGACCGCACTCTCTCTGGTGGTGTTGCTGATGACTCGACCTTCTGGATCCTTCCACGAAGCCTTACGGCGAGAGCCTTGATGCTTAATCAGTATGTGAGAAGCCCTAACGTTATCAGATGAAGATCTTGATGAGGCCATTTTGGTCTTTTTCTTGTGCTTTTCTGTTCGATCTGATGATGAGATCGAAGTCTTCTTCCTCTTCCGATCGGACTCTATTTTAACAGTGGAGAGAGACAGGGAGACGGAGAGAGGAAGAGAGGCTTTACGATTTGTATACCAGCCTGCCTCCGAAGACTCGAGAAAATGAATAATGGGTTACTCGTGAGAGAGAGCTGCTTGTATTTATAGAGAATTATTAAACTCGCGGGATGCGTGTGTGGGCCAGTAAAAGTCCAACAATAGGAGCACTAACTAATCACGAGACGCCACATCAGCAAATTGGGAAAAGAATCATAAACATAAGATTAATAAAATCCACTTTATTAGTGCTATTTTAATTTGATGATAACACGATCCGACCGTCATGACGAACGTCACCTGTTACAATAAATATTTTTTCCTTAATTTAGGATCTAAATTATCTTTACATTTTCGTTTGATGATTGGTCATTAATCATGTACAAATAAAAAATTCACATATAAATAATGAGTCTCATATAAATATACTAAAATTTATCCGTACCCAAAGGCACCACGTAATAACAACAAAAACAATAACTCAAACTGCATCACAATTCTACACCACTTATAACACACTCATATCAAAATAATTGTTATAACAAATAAAATTTCAATAATTAGTATGTACCAACTATTATTCTTTTAAAATTTATTTTAAAAATATTATTCTTAAACAATATCGACCACTGTGTATAACTTATAGAATTGGATCTTTATGTAAATAAACATGACTTAACTCAATAATTTCACCACATCACGTTAATAGTACGATTAACACTATTTATCATACAAATATAAATTAAATTAACACCAAAATTAAACTAATAAGAATAAGTAATTAAGTACATTCACTCGTTTCATAGAAACCAAATAACCCAATACTATGCTAAAAATAATTTGTATTCATGTAATTGAGTAATTTATAGTTATTAATTTTTGTGGCACATTATGGATGTGTGAGAATAGTGTGTGAGAGAGAGAGAGACAAATGCGTAAGAGAAATATGTGAGAGAGGAGGCAATTTTACATTAACAATTAACTGTTAGTAATTGGGGCTTTGACTATGTTTTTGAAGAAAAATTTTTGGTATTCAACCTCTAAATTTTATTATTTTAATAAATATTTTTATAAGTCATTTTACAAATAAGAAAATTATCATTTTTATGAGTATTTTTACCACAGTTGTGGAAACTATTTCTACCATTTTCTTCGATACAAAAAAAATTATTCAGTATTTTTATTTTTGTATAGATGTCTTTAACATTACTGTAGTAATTATTTTTATCATTTTTTTTTGTACTATAACAGAAAAAAAATATTTATAAATGTCATCAAAGTTGGTACGGTACCATATTTTTTTTTTGGCATCGTAGACAAGTACTAGTAATAGACTTTGATTAGCTACTAATAACAAGATAGAACACCAAACCCCTTTTATTTTTAAAAAACCCCTTTTAAAAAGAGCTTCAAGCTAATAAAAAATATTTTTTACGCCTTCCATATAAATGTAACTACAACTACATACCATTGTTCAGCTCACCTCACCTCATTCTTTGAATGGGCTTGCAAAAATCAAATCCAATCAATAAAAAAAATATTACATAAAAACCAAAGAAGACATCTTCAAATAATGACAATATGTTAGCCATTAGCAGGATTTTTTATGATTTGGTTCTGCTAGGAATTTCAATAAATGGTTGATGTGCTTTATTATCAAATGGAGTGGTACTATGGTAGCTAGTTAAGCAAATATAACTTGCTTTAGCCAAAAAAAAAAAAAAACATTGCACCATTAAGTTGAACCCAAAACAGGACACACACGGACACAAACTGAAACACAGAAATGCCCACTGTTTTTGGTCACCCAAATCAATAAACTCTAATTCATAACCCGCAAACTCAAGAAAATCAAAATCCCAATTTCGTAATGGATGAGTTATTCTCCGTACCAAATTAAGAAAGTTTTAAGCTTATATTGAAATTCAAAAAATAAAACTCACCTTGCAACTGCAGGAAGTAAAATTTTGAGCAAAACCCAATGCCCAATTCCGAGTATAATCAATCACCAAAACTTCCAGCAGCCAGAACTTTTTTCAAACTACTAACGGATAAATACACTAAAATTTTGTACAATATTTCACAAACTATTCTTGGACTAAAACCCAAATACACGGTTAATTGGGTCTCTCAAATCCGAAGAACACAAAGTGACATTGACCTCAAAGAATAAGGTTTTAAAGTGTGTGGCTCTGTCGCTTTGTGTAACTGTGCGTGTTCGTGTTTATTTTGTGTGCGTGAATAAAAAGAGAAGAAAAAATTGAGAAAAGGAAGACATACCTGAGCGTCGCGTGAGCTGTGACTTTACTGGTGGAGGATAAGCAGCGGCACAAATATTGGTAGAAGAGTGTGTGAGTGAGAGGAAAATATGTACCTGGGCAGCGGCGTTGGCTGGGCTGTAACTTTTCTGGTGAAGGATAAGTAGCGACACAAAGATTGACAAAAGATTTAAGATTGAGAGAAGATTTAAAATGGATTCCATGTGAGAAATTTTGGAGATGAGTTTAAAAAATTGGAATAGAAGCGTGAGAGATTGGGAGAGAGAGGCATGAGAGAAAGGCCTTAGTTGGCGTGGGAAAATAAAATTTAGTACTCACCGTAGACCGTCGGATCAAAATTTTTGAGATGATCTGAACAGTCTTTTATGTTGGGATTACGTTGTCCGTTGGATATGTTTATGTTTTGTCTTAAAACGATATAAATCTCTTTTTATCTCTAAAATTCAAACTCAATTCTACTTTATTATATAGATAGTAAGTGATTTACGATTGAGTGAAATTATATAAAAAAAACGACAAAGAGGATCCAAAATTTGGAATGAGCAATGTTATAAGGACCTAATTTGTAGATCTAATTTAGAGATTTAATGTTGTAACTTTAATGCAACTATTTGATTAATTATGAGTTCTAATGTTTAAATGGAGTCCTGTATCGAGTCAATGATTACATTGAATTAGATCTCTAGATTAAATTCAAATAAAATTTTCAAGATATGTTTTCTCTTCAATTCTTTTTTAGGTGGATTACTATTATTCATTCAAGTGAGGCTTATTATATATAAATATATTTTCATCCGTTAATGACGAAGAATCAATCTATTTATAATAGAAAGAATTTTGATTCCGCAATTATGAGTTTTGGATTCAACCCAAAGGCATCTCCTCCAACAAAAAAACAAGAAGAAGCCAAGGTTTGATTTGGTAATATGTGGGTATTATTTTATATATTGATCATTATAACCCCCAACTGATAACAATCTGCTGTCATTGTAAAAAACACTAATTTTGGATATTTTTATTCATTCAACATCAATACAATAAAATAATTTCTTAATCAAACAACCGATTAAATTAAATAACTATTATTTAACATTTATGTTGTATATTACCAAATACTAGATAAAATTACATATTATTTTAATACCCTATTTAGTCTTTTTTTTGTCCTGTTGTATTGTATTAGACTGAATTATTTTATCTAATTCATTCATTTCTAATACGTCAACCAAATGAGCCCAATAAGTATAATCCTATGTTTGTCTTTTACCAAATTTAACTTTAGTGTTAACAAGATGTCTTCTGAACTAAACTTGTTGACTTTTGAGTGTAATAAGCATCAAAACACTCTAATGTGTCCGGGAGATATTTGTTAAAAAGCTTAGGGGACAAGACAATAATATAAAAAAATAATTAATTTTTTAATATTATATTAAAAATTGGTCTTGAACTATAGATTTTGATTTTAATTATTCTAGTAATTAATCGTGAAAAAAAATAAAATGAAGTAAAACAATGTAACAAGACCAACTCACCATGTGTAAGTTTTTGATTGCGTAGAAAATAGAAAATGATATTGAAAAATTATTTGTTGTTATACAAAACAATTCACATACACCACTACATATTTCAAGATGATTTGGGGTTGGACCCCCCAAAACAAAAACCCCTTCGATCAAATGCCGAAGAAATTGCAGATAAAACTGGTGACTTGATTCACAAATGAACGAATCTGGGCAGGGCAGCTCTTCCAATCATTGGACTCTGATAAGCTCGGATCACGCAGGGAGGTCTATGTTGTCAACTGAAGGAATTTGATCCGAATAATTGCCAATTGATCCTTTTCAGCTTGAACAAATAGGGATTTACTAGCTACACTTATCTTAAAATGGGCCAACCTCTTTTAATGATATCCCTGATCTTGGTATCAATCTGCTTTTGCATCTTCAGTGGACAAAGCTCGGCTGCATAGCTGTTTAGTTTTGCTGCCATGCTCGACTTCTCAAGCTCTTCTTCAGGCAAGTTCCCAATCAACTGGAGGAGAAATGGATTCTGTTTGAGCTCAAATTTCTGCAAATTTTAAAGACAAGAGTTTGTCATAGTTTACTCACTGGGATTCAAAATGCAACAAGATTTTGTTAAAACGTCAACTCAATTAAGTAAAACGGGAAACAATATGGAGTAGGAAGCCACAAGCGAAAAATCTAAAAGAATTTATGGACTTTACAATGCGGTAGAAAGAATAAAGCTGTAGGCTTCCAACCTCACCATGCTTTCAAAATGGGAGAACTAAGCTCATTTCAGGCTAATAATCTTAGTTGCAATTTTTTCTGCCCAAGAAAGTGTGAAAGCAATAACATGTGTCTATTTACCACTGGAAGAAAATAGCAAGTTCAAGTGGTAATTCTCTGCTTCCTCCTTTCTTTATGTTTTCCTTTTCCTTTTTTTTCTTTTCTTTTGTTTTTCTTTCTTTTTTTTCAAAAGAACCCCAGTCTCAGATATGATCATTTAACTAGGATTCACTTTCACAGCCTGATAACTTCATTCATTTATGTTTCACCATTTCACATGAAATTTAATCAAAAACACCAAACCTGATGTTCGGGCTCTGCAGGATAAAATGTTCCAAGATGTTGAATTTGAGTGGTGACGATGCTGCTCTTTGACCTAGTTTGCTCTCTTTCTTTGCTGACAGCAGCCAATCTGGACTCTTCAGTTCCATTTGTAAAGATAATAGATCTGCTTCCATATTATTTTTCAATAGCTAAGTATGTGATTTGACATTGTGTGTCTGTGTGTGTGAGAGAGAGAGAGAGAAAAAGAGATACCTGTATTGATTACCCACATCAGGACCCTGCCCAAATACTTGCCTGGAATCATGACTGGACCAGAACACCTCCAAAAGTTTCCTGAAATTAATCAGCCTAGCATCGTATTCAATCTGCAGAGTATTGAAGGAACCATATCATACAAGTTTCCATCGAAGTAGTAAAACAGAAATATCAAGTTCTCCTATGAAATCTAAGAAGATGAGAAAATATACCCCAGTTGCAATAAAGGTGATATATAACTCTGCCTACCAGCCAGTCAGTTATTCATGCTAACAAATCACCAATTATGGGGAAATTACCACCATTCCCAAGCATGTAAGCAGGACTTAATCAATATTATCTGCGAGGAATTTGAGTCGAATCTTTCACTAGTGGAATGAGACTGTTTTGGTGGTTTGCACTTATCACTGCCCACAGTCTGGCAGGCATGCAAAGACCTAGATTTGTGCATTACTACTATCTGAAAACTAAATAAAAATTGTATATTCCTCAGCAACACCCTACAAAATGTTGCCAGCAATCAGATAAAACGAAAATAACATTTGAGGTCTATAGTCCCTCATGAGATACATAAAAGTTCACTTTAAATTTTGCAATACATTCATTTCAAAAATACTCTGCAAACTTAGTTCTAGTAATTTCTCATGCCCTTTCAAATGAAACATATCTCTTTCTCTCCCTCCCTCTCTCTCTGCAATTAGGGCTGTAAAATGAATCAACTTGGTTCAAGATTCTAGAGGCTCGCTTAAGATCAACTTGTGAGATAAACAAGTTAAAGCTTTGATTAACTCTCATCAAAATATTATGCTCAACTCCATAAGGTAATCAGTATTATGTATAAAAAAATCAACTTGGATTTGGGTTGTTATAGCTTGGGTCAAAAGCTCACTCGAGATCGACTCGAGTTCTACGAGCCAAGCTTGAGTTTCATTTAGGACTCATTTAAGTTTCCAAGCCAAGCTTGACACCCCACTAATTAGCTATAGTCGACTTGTTTACGCTCCTATCTGTGGATTGATTAATGTACCTGTGCACTGGAATGCTAATGATTTTCTATGGCCCTGTTGATAGTCAGTGGCAGCTAGACTTGGGCCAAGCCAAACTTAAGGCATTTCGCAAAATCACAACCACATAGTTAGAAGTGATGAATTTATATTCTCCACTCTGGTTGTACAAGGAAGTGGTAATCAGGTAACTGCCATCTAACTTTGTAATAAAGAGCTCCAAGTGCAGAATGTATAGCCATTACACCTAAAAATAGCTAGCTTAAATTTTCTGTAAGAAGCACAAAGTACAACTGTACAAGAGAAAAACTATCCTAAGCACATCTACAGCAGTGGCGAATCTGCTGTCAATCATGTTGAAGTTGAATAGGTCCATTTATTCCCATTAATGTACTCGTGTAACGATCAGAACTCAGAAGAAAATGTGAATTAAACATAGTAGGATATGAAAAAAACTCAGCAGACCATCCCATTTTCATAGGAGGAAATAAACAGTATCAAAGTGCTCTTCATTCTTCTCCATTTGACCCTCATGAGAATAAATAAAATCTCAAATTCTCATAACATTGATGAACAACTTACTAGAAGGGGTTCCAGAGAGTGATGGTGGAAACAGATGCAGCTACTTATTATTGATTTCATTTGCAAGGCAAATGTAAGTCATCATCTCCATGTAGCCTCCCACAAGCTTCCGAAGGCTTGAGTGGTGAAGGGAAGGGCAAGTCTTTTTTTTCTTTTTTGGTCTTGGTGAGGGGCAAGTACAGATGCTATCTTTGTAGGGAATACATTCATGGGTCAATGTCTTAGTATCGGCCACGTACTTGGAGGGTATTGATACACACCAATTAGAGTGTCGTGGTTCGCTATCGGCCGATACGCTTAAAATGGTAAATAGTGTTAGAATAGTTTAGTGGTATTTTAGATATTTTCTAGTATTTTTTTGCCTCGAATATAAAAGGTCTTTATTCTAGTCTTTTAGATGGTATTCTTAATGTTTACAGGGAGCAGACTATTAGCTTGAATAATATTCACTCTTTCTTTTTCACTTGTAAAAAAAATACTATAAAATATCAAAAATAACCCTAACACTAAACTATTCTAACAAATAGAAGGCCCAAAAAATTCTGAAAAAATCCCAAAAAATGTAAACAACAATCCCTTGTCCTACTCATGATTTTAACTTGATGGGTAGCTAAAATCATACTCCACCTAATAATCCCTTGTCCTACTCATGAATCATGTTCCATTTAAACAAGCGAAATTCTCCTCAATTATCCGTCACTTTAGGATTGATAACGAAAAAAGCCACTTTTTTGTATCTCATGGACATCCACAACACTTTCTTTTTGTTTCAACTTCTAAAATGTAATGGAATAACTTCCCCTGTATCAATTTCACAATACATACTGTGTATAGACCATAAACCTACCTCACCTAAAGCTTAAATATCCACCACATCGATCTATAGTCACAATTCTGACTCACATTTGACAAAAATATATATATGGTTAGGCAACAAGCACAATGGACCCATAATCCCCAGGTCCCAAGATCCAAACCTAAATCTACTCCATCAACAATGATACCAGGAATCACCATGAAAAAAATATACCTAAAAGATAGAATCAAGCATTGTTCAATTAAACTGATACGATCTTTTATTACTATACAATAGGAAAACTATGAAGGACAGGAGCACAGATCTCCTGGTTGTGCCTCCAAGCAGAAGGATCACCTCTATTAATAAATGGATACGGACTCCAAACTCATATACAGGATTAATAATTAAGAATCTTTCAAGAGAATAATACATTAACCTTTCACATGATACAAAAGAGCATAAAGTTGCACATAGAAAGTTTCACAAGCACAAGGGGAAAAGGTGGGTTTAGAGAGGCTTTGACGAGCAATTTGAAGGCCTTATTGAATCCACAACCCATTTTCCCAAATTACTCATTAAGCCCATCAAACCACTTAAATTTTAAAAGGATTAAAAAAACCTAGGGACTCAATGTTAATCCTTGACATAGGCATACTGTGGATGCTATCCAAGTCTTCCTCGCCCTAAAATGTTCTAAAGTGATTATAGCACCGCTAGAGTACTCTTTTGCATCACATGAACTAAGACGACAAATCCCCCTTAATTTTCAACAAAAAAACCCACGGAATTAATAGCATTTAAAGAGTTTTCTACTACTCTCCTCAGTTGGGTATTTCACTGGCGTCATTCTCTTGCTCTTCTTAACCATGAATTATAGTTTTGTTCAAAATTATTGGTCATACAGAATTCTCTCTAAGCAAAATTCTTTAGCATTTGCACCATTTACCTACTAAATTTTCAGAAAAAGGGACGATCCCATGACAATCCGCTCTTTATCTGAACATCAACTGCCATAGCAAACATCGATTTCCATGGACGTATACTAATTGAGTAACGTACCGAGAGAAGGGATAACATGAAGTGCGTACAAACTACAATGTGTTCACATAGAAAGAATGGGAATACCTGTACACACTCGGCGTGATCACCCAAGCTTCGGTACTCGGGGCTCATTTTAGATCCACCGGCATAACCGACGGTCGTCCGTACAACGCCATCCAAGCATCCAAACACGGCCTCGGACCTCCAAAAGCTTCCTAGAGCGAAAACTGCAGTTTTTAGGGGCTGATTGGACTTGTCCTTGGGGAATTCAGCGATCCGATCCGGAAATCTGATGCTCAAAGCTCTACCCGCCCCTAATATAATGCTCGCAAGGAAAACAAATAGAAGGTGAGAAAGAAATGGATTGTTCTCCGAGAGCTTCATTGAACGTTGATTGAAACTCTGGAAGAGAGAGAGCCGCAGAGTCTGTTCGTTAGGGTTGATCGATTTTCCGACAAAAAATTTCAGTCCAGCAGATTTAGAAATGAATTTTTTTTCCCGGCGATTAGATTTTTTTCGGTTAACCTCAAAACTTGCACTTTTAAAATTAGTTGAATCTCAATTTATTTTCTTAAAATTTAAAAATACTAGTTTATACCTTAAAATATATAAATTTGTATTAATATGCACCTCAAATTACCCGTTGTCTTTTTTATTCTTAAAAAAAATTGAGTTAATTATAAATTATACCCTCAAAATTTAAATAGTTTATATTTATAATCTAAAAAGAATTATATCCATTAATGCTAGTTAAATAACTCTCAATTGTGTCGTGTCGTGTCTAACTTTAAACATAAAATAACTATTTAATAAATATTATATGTAAAAAAATAGGTATTTTAAATTTTTTTTAAATAATATTATATGAATTGTTATAAATGTGAAATATACGATGCAATGTAATTGATTCGATAAAAAAAAAATTATGTTAAAAATTATTCTTTATTGATTCAAACACAACACAAAAATAATACGACATGACACAAAATGACACGATACGAAAATGTTACGATATAATAAAATTGAAGTAATTAACGAGTATTAATGGATAAATTTTTTGTGGATCATAAATGTTAAATATTTAAATTTGAAAGTGCAATTTATAATTAGTCCAAATTTTTTTAACGGCAAAATGGACAGCAGTTAAACCTCAGTGACAATGATAAAAATTTATATCTTTCAGGGTATAAATTGATATTTTTAAACTTTTGGGTATAAATTTAGATTTGAATATTTTTGGGGTGCAATTTGAGATTAGCCCAATTTTTTCGGTAGGTTCTCTCGCGTGTTGTGGTTGTTTCTGTGATGAAATTACCAAAAGAACCCCAAAACTTATACAATTACTTTCATTAAGTCCTAGATATTGAATCTTGTCTGAATTCGGGCCTCTAATTTTTCAATTAGTTCAATGTACACCTTTCATTCAATTCTATCAACCATTGTAACTTCTTCCTTTTTTTTTTTTGAACATGATCGGCTATTATAACTCAAAAATTGAGTATTGATTATATAATATTTATATTTTAACTAATATTTTTTTTATTTTATTTAATTACAAAATTTTAAATTAGGGTAGACAGAGAGAAAATAAAAAGAGATAAAGAGAGAAAAAAGAAAGAGTTGGCATGGATTAGTGATGTTGTCTAGTATTGGAATAAGAAAACAATGTTTTGGGGCAAAAAAAATTTTAATTAATTTTTTATAGTTAAATAAAATTGAATTAGCATTTAATCGTTGTTCTATTTTTATAAATATGCAATGAGAATGAAAGAAAGGAGAGGAAGAGATAAAATATTTAATTTTTTTTTTTACATTTTTAGAGTATTGTGTAGCAAAATATTATTTTAGATATTTTGAAAATAATTTGTTGGAATGAAATTTTTGGGCTAAATAGTTAAAATTTAAAGATTTTATCTGTTTTAGATAATCGGTTAGAGATGCTATAAGACCAAATATAGGGGTGTTTACTTTACCATACAGGTAAAAAATATGGGTTTTCGTCTTCTTACTCGATACTTTATAAAAGAATATTTTCTTGGTTTATCCCATCCGATTAAGTATAGTATTTCTATTTGGCTTTTGTTCAAATTAATCGAGTAGAAAGTCGGATTAACACTTTTGTAATTATTAATTTTTGAATCATTTTAACAATTCAATTAAATAACATGTATCAATTTAACAACACAATAAACTAATACTAAAATTTAAAACAATTACAACAAAAATCAATAAATAGAGTTATGTGAGTTTGTTTCTAAATTGTTTAGTAAACAGAAGATAATAAATTGTTCAGCAACTTTGAGTATCAAACTAAAGTAACAGCCAGCCCAAAGCACACACATATGTGCGTAATTTAATGAAACATTCAATACAAATTACACACACAATTATGCAATTTAAGAAGAAAAACAAGTAACTAAAAATGGAGAAACAAGATGGAACAAATTTTTAAAGAAATCATGAAAGAAGATCAGTTTACATAATCAAAAATCATGAACAAAATTTTAAACTACAAGACCAGTTTACCAAAGTTACAAACATTAAGTTTAATCTAGAAGGAAAAACATCAAAAACAACAAGGTTAATCCCTTTTTCACCATTTCTCATGCCAACTTTCTTTCCAAATCGTGCCCAAATAGTCAATTGAGATAGAGACGAAAACATAAAGACAGAGTATCTAGGAGAGGCGATTGGTGAGACTAGATAGACGATGTGGTTGGACAGATGATGAAGGCCTAAGGCGCTAAAGGCAATGGTGGCGATGAAGACTAAAAAGCTCAAACGATTAGGAAATTTGAGTTTTTAGTTTATATATATTTATATATATAAATTAATTAATTAATTAATGCGGGTAAAGTAAGGTAGGAATACAAAAATTAATAAGTATTCCGTATTCCTATCCGATTTAATCAAAAGATCAAAAACTCTTTTTGTATTCTTATTTGATTTAATCGGCTAGTCGTTCAATAGGGTCAGAGAGGATAAAAAATTTCGATTAATCGAAAATTTGAACATCACTAACCAAATATGTCCTCGGTATACCTAATACGTTGTAATTCATGTTATTTCTTTCGCTTAAGTTAAGTGGCTCAAATAATTATAAAGAAAAATATATTATACCTAATACGTTGTAATTCATGTTATTTCTTTCACATTAAGCGAAAGCAATTGACAAGATTAATAGTTAGCCTAATGACTTTTTTTGAAATTTAAGATTGCGTGTTCAAATTTTATTCTTTTTTTATCACCTAACAAAAAAAATAACAACGAAAACAACAGACCAAGTGTCACGTGAGTGCGTTGTACCAAAAAGAGCTCAGGAAAGTGACGAAGAGCCATCATGGCTAAAGCTTTTCCTCTTCAATTTTGAGGATTTGTTTAATAGACAACAGATGGTGACCTAGCGGCTTATAGTTGGTGAAAACTACAACGATTAGTTGTATTGCCCAATTCAACATATTTTATATTTTTTGGTTTAATTATACTATTTATCAATCAACTTTCACCTAATTTACACTCTATATGTGAAAGTTTCTCTTTGTCAATTTCTCTATACATGAAAACCATCTAATTGAGTGCTCAGTTTTTATAGGGTGTTTTAGATTAAAGATGACTATTCTTTAAATTTAGATATTGATTACCATAATTTAAACGAGTTTAAAATATATTCCCTGAAGAATAAGAGTGATTGGCCATCTAAATAATAAAAGAGTTAGATGTTTGAAATTTTGTCCCATATATATTTTTGTCACCAAAAATCATCTTATCGCATATTTCTATCATATGTTTAATCATTTAATATTTGATTAATTTATAATTTAATATAATTTTTATTTCAGACATTATCCGTACACGATAGTATACACATGTTAAGAAAATTTGTCGAATTATATATTTTTGTCAATATTTTTAAAAAAATGTTGGATAAAAATAAATTTTGAATGATGTAATCAAATAAATAAAGGAAAGAAAAATTATTATTTAATATAGTGGAATCGATTTTTTAAACGTTCGAATTTTATGTTTTATCGTGTCTTCAAACATGTATTATGACTAATTAAGAAATATAAAAGATGTTAAACTTTAATTTATCAAATAACACACTAAACTAGTGAATCACCTTTCAAAATTTGAAAGTGGCATTGTGACCATAAATTTAGTTTTGATTTGACATGATCACTCTTCCCAATAACTTATTTTGTTTTCTTAATTTCTTTTTGAGTAATGTTTGATAAACTTAAAAGTTAGACATAAAAATTAGACTTGATATTACTCTTAATTATTAAATAGATAGTGAGTCCCAATAAATGTTGAGACTCACAGTGAAATCAATGGTTGATATTATCAAGTCTATTTTTTAAATTCATGTAGCATTACTCTTCATGCGAGATAAATCTCTCATAAATTGACTCAAAAGAGTTGCCAAAATTTGAAATCAAAATATCTAATTTTATTTTTTATTTTTAACAATATAATAAAAAATACTATGTAATTTAAATAAAACTTAAAAAATACAACACAAATGTAAATCATCCCTCATATGAGTATTGGTGAGTGAGTCCCACTTAAAAAACTAGTAAAATTTACTTATCAAAAGATGATATGTATTTAAATTATAATTTTTTAAATTATATTAAGACTGTATAGTATATTACTCATATAATAAAGTCTTCCAAGGGTAAAAAGCCATATATTAATGGGCTCCCGTTCAGCCAGCTAAAAGCTAAAATTAAATAAATAACATAACATATATGGTCTCCAGCTCATCTTTGCAGGCTGGCACCAACTTAATTTGACTATTGACCGACTGGAATTATGGGACTCCCTCGTACTTTTAAAGTCTGAGAAGGGTAAATTTGTAAACTCACAAGAATTTAAAAGATGATGTGTCTTTGCTCTCTTGTCTGTGTAGACACCCGCCCGCTCCTCTGGCTCCCTCTGTTTCTCCACACACACACACACTCTCTCTCTCTCTCTCTCTCTCTCGCTCTCTCAGACAGTAACCGGAGAAGAAAAGAACAAACTTCGATACAAAGCTCCTTTTTTGACTCACACCGAAGAATTGATTCGACTCTGAGTTTTTCAAAATTCAATCTCCTTTCACATACATTTCTACCAGTATGTTTCGTTTCTGATCATTCTGCTCCTGTTACTGCATGAAAAATTGTGTTGATCGTTACTCTCAATATGCATGTGTGTGTTTCTCTGCATATATTTCTTGTTCGTTGGATTAGGCAGAGGCTAACGATGTTGATTACTCTTTTATCCGATTAACTGAGATAGTAGCGGAATTATCCCATTTGTGTCCTATTTTTGGTGCGATTGGTCGGTTTATACATTTGTACTGTTAATGAGGATGAGTTATTTTCTGGGATTAGTATCGATTATGTGTTAGTTTTGTTGAGGATGTGATTTTGTATCACCTTTGGAAAACATATCTACATACATATGAGTTGTACTTGTGCCTTTAAGGAAACAAAGGCCGTTGCAGTTGGTTTCGTCTTACCCTCCTACTGATTGGCTTACTTGGAAGCGTGGTAGTGGACAGTTTCCTTGTTTGGCCTTCCAGGACAGTTAGATCACATCTGAATGTATGTTTCTTCAAAGCTTCAGATTCACGTAGTTTTGTCTTGTTGTACCCTCTCAATTACATGATAATGATCGTGGGAGTTCCAGTCATGAGTTGTGATGCCTACTTTAAAATTCTGACAAGTTAGAAATGGTGCTAGTGTATCTATGTGTGTGAGATTAGTTTTATCCAGTAGAACTATTTTGGTGGACCTGATAGGATGGTTGGCTAGCCTATGGTACTCTGCCAATATGGTGATCTTTTGTGGATCATTTTGAAGAGTTCGATAATCAAATGGGTTTAAGGCTTTTAGAGCATGGATAGACAATGGGAAAATGGAATCTCCTCTTAATGTTATGGTCTTATACTCGAGGTGCAAGATTGCAGCATCAGTAACTCTATGCTCCTCTATCTTAGTTTAGGAATATTATCATTTTGCACAATTTGGAAGTTAAAATATTGGTTGAATCATATAAAATCAGATAATTCATTCAGCTTGAATTACTGCGTTAACTCTGTGAGCCAAGATAGACATTTGCTGATTAAGGTTAGAATGGCGTAAGTCAATTTTGGCCGTCTTATATCAAGAGGAAGCTACGCAGGTTTTATGTGTGGAGTTGTATCTTCTCAAAGTGACCATATGGTCTCTATGATTCTTTTAATTTTTGTAATATATATTTGTATTGTAAATTGCTTAACTCATGCATGCAGGATACGTATCAACTATGGATCGTCGTAGTTGGCCCTGGAAGNAACAAACTTCGATACAAAGCTCCTTTTTTGACTCACACCGAAGAATTGATTCGACTCTGAGTTTTTCAAAATTCAATCTCCTTTCACATACATTTCTACCAGTATGTTTCGTTTCTGATCATTCTGCTCCTGTTACTGCATGAAAAATTGTGTTGATCGTTACTCTCAATATGCATGTGTGTGTTTCTCTGCATATATTTCTTGTTCGTTGGATTAGGCAGAGGCTAACGATGTTGATTACTCTTTTATCCGATTAACTGAGATAGTAGCGGAATTATCCCATTTGTGTCCTATTTTTGGTGCGATTGGTCGGTTTATACATTTGTACTGTTAATGAGGATGAGTTATTTTCTGGGATTAGTATCGATTATGTGTTAGTTTTGTTGAGGATGTGATTTTGTATCACCTTTGGAAAACATATCTACATACATATGAGTTGTACTTGTGCCTTTAAGGAAACAAAGGCCGTTGCAGTTGGTTTCGTCTTACCCTCCTACTGATTGGCTTACTTGGAAGCGTGGTAGTGGACAGTTTCCTTGTTTGGCCTTCCAGGACAGTTAGATCACATCTGAATGTATGTTTCTTCAAAGCTTCAGATTCACGTAGTTTTGTCTTGTTGTACCCTCTCAATTACATGATAATGATCGTGGGAGTTCCAGTCATGAGTTGTGATGCCTACTTTAAAATTCTGACAAGTTAGAAATGGTGCTAGTGTATCTATGTGTGTGAGATTAGTTTTATCCAGTAGAACTATTTTGGTGGACCTGATAGGATGGTTGGCTAGCCTATGGTACTCTGCCAATATGGTGATCTTTTGTGGATCATTTTGAAGAGTTCGATAATCAAATGGGTTTAAGGCTTTTAGAGCATGGATAGACAATGGGAAAATGGAATCTCCTCTTAATGTTATGGTCTTATACTCGAGGTGCAAGATTGCAGCATCAGTAACTCTATGCTCCTCTATCTTAGTTTAGGAATATTATCATTTTGCACAATTTGGAAGTTAAAATATTGGTTGAATCATATAAAATCAGATAATTCATTCAGCTTGAATTACTGCGTTAACTCTGTGAGCCAAGATAGACATTTGCTGATTAAGGTTAGAATGGCGTAAGTCAATTTTGGCCGTCTTATATCAAGAGGAAGCTACGCAGGTTTTATGTGTGGAGTTGTATCTTCTCAAAGTGACCATATGGTCTCTATGATTCTTTTAATTTTTGTAATATATATTTGTATTGTAAATTGCTTAACTCATGCATGCAGGATACGTATCAACTATGGATCGTCGTAGTTGGCCCTGGAAGAAAAAATCATCTGTGAAGTCAGTAACTGAGAAAAAGGTGGATGCATCAGATTCCGCTGGTGCTTCATTGGCTTCAGTAGCATCTCTACTAGAACAGGTCTGTTTGGTCTACCTAAGAGCTGAAGTCATAAAGTTTTGGACTTGTTTCAATATCTCAATCCAAATTTGCTGCTCAATTCATACCTGTTTCTCGTCCATTTCCTTTAGGCATATGCCTTCTGGTCCTTGTATCAATACATGGCTTAAAAAAGATACCATTACCAAAAATCTGTTAGGGTTTTTAGCATGGAAATGGCTTGCTTTTGGGTGCAACATCTACATACTTTTAACTGTGTTTCAATCAAGGGTCCTCATGAAATTTTGAACTGCATTGGTTAGTGGAAATGGATCATTACAGTTGTACGTATGCCTGAGACTGCAGATGTGCCACCATCCTTGTCCTTGCATAAAATAGGACACATGGATTTTGATGAGATATTTACATTTATATTCTTACAGAATTTAGGAGACAGCAACTTGGTTCTGGATTTCTGTAAGATATTAATTTAGATATTACATTGACCATCTCTTGATTGTGCATGCATTAGACGCTGTCTGGATGTGATAACATCTGATAAAGACCACATAGTGCTTGGAGGGATTTTTGTATTATGATCCCCCAGAAAAGCATTTATGAGAGCTTTCCCTTTTGGTGGAGATTGATTTCACAAATGGATGTCTAGAATAACTGTTGGTGGAAGTTTAACATATTATCTTTTACTGTTCTGTCATTCCATGTGTAAGGATGAAGCAATAAACCTCAATCACTTTATATGTGGTCGTAGATGCATTAGCTGAGTGATATTTTTTGTAGGCCTAGTCAGATAGCCATTTTTAGGTATAGCGGTGATTAAATTCCATACAGATTAAACGGGGAGGGGTAAGGAAGCGTTGGTGAAAATTTAGTCGCTTAGAGACTGCACCACAATGTAGGATCATGAATGCCAAGACTCCTTCCTTTACTTCCTTTGTTACAATTTTATTAATTTGCTATTTATCATATTCTTTTTTTTCCCCCAATTTTTTGTCTTTAGATATGTCACTCAGGAGTTCTTTTAAATTCTTTTCCCTTTTTTTTCCAGGGATAATTGGGGATGGGGGGTGTTTTTGACTCAAGGGCTCAAAATGTTACTGATCACCTCTCATTGAATATATTATATTCCTTTTTGCAGCTCCTCTGTTATCCTTTTTCTTGAAATTAGTTGACCCTTTCTTCTCATTTTTTCCCTTGATGTGGCCAGGAAAACCACAAAAATGTAAACTATGTTCAAATACCTCTGGATTCATATAAACATCTGACTAGCCTGGAAGATCAAGTTAAGACATTGGAAGATCAAGTTAAATGGTTGCAGGATGAAGTAAAGGATTTGTATGAAAAACTTTCTGCAGCTCACCAAGAGATGGCTGCTAAGGACAACTTAGTACAACAACAAGCAAAAGTTGCTGAAGAAGCTGTTTCAGGTATGACTTTGGTGTCTTGTTTCTGCTGTGGAGGAAAGGGGATGACCACTATTTCCTACTGTTGGCTTAAGCCATATGCAAGTTCCTTTAAGTTGCTTTGGAAGAAAAAATATATTAATTTCAGGATTGAACCTGTAAAAATGGAAGATCAAATGACACTGTAACTATAAACAAATAGCGCCAAGTCTTTCCAATGACCCATGCATAGGTGTTCTGATTTTGCATTTTGCTTTCCTTTATAGTTCATACAACTGAACATGTTCTGTATTCTAGGATGGGAAAAGGCTGATGCCGAAGTGGTGGCGTTGAAGCATCAACTGGAATCTGTCACACTCTTGAAGCTTACTGCTGAAGATAGAGCATCCCATCTGGATGGCGCTCTTAAAGAGTGCATGAGGCAGATAAGAATTGTGAAGGATGAGAATGAGCAGAAATTGCATGAAGTAGTTCTTATAAAAACCAGTCAGTGGGAGAAAATCAGGCATGACCTTGAAGCACAGATTGATGACATAGATCTAAGGCTTCTGAGGTCAGCTGCTGAAAATGCTGCTCTTTCTAGGTCACTGCAAGAGCACTCAACTATGGTAATGGAGATTAACAAACAAAAATCTGAACTTGGGGATGAGAATGAACTTCTGAAAGGAAACATTCTATCATATGAAAAGGAAATAAGTTCACTCAAGTATGAGCTGCATGTAGCTTCTAAGGAACTTGATATCCGAAACGAAGAAAAGAACATGAGTATGAGATCAGCCGAAGCTGCAAACAAGCAACATTTGGAGGGTGTCGGAAAAATAGCCAAGTTGGAAGCAGAGTGCCAAAGATTGCGCAACCTGGTTCGCAAGAAGTTGCCTGGCCCTGCTGCATTGGCACAGATGAAGCAGGAAGTTTTAAATTTGGGCCACGATTCTGTTGAACCACAACCACGAAGACTGCAAGTAAAAACTTCCAAGTCACTTTCATCTTCACTGCCAGAATTTTCCCTTGATAAATTGCAACCCCATCATAATGAGAATGAGTTACTAACTAATCGTTTGTTGGCTATGGAAGAAGAGACAAAGATGCTGAAAGAAGCGTTGGCCACACGGAACAGTGAACTGCAATCTTCAAGAGAAATATGTGATAAGATGGTTCGCAGGTTGAAAAACTTAGAAACCCAACAAGGGTTCGTGAATCATCACAGGAGCTCTCCGAAATCAATTTTTGAGATCCCTACTGAGGGTTCCTTAAGTCAAAATGCAAGCACACACAGTGTTGCCTCCATGTCTGAAGATGGGTTTGATGAGGTTGGAAGTTCTGCTGAGTCATGGGCAGCAGGATTGATCTCTGATCTCCATCTGAAAAGGCATAAGAGCACTGACAAATGCAACACGCCTGCCAATGCAAATTCGTTAGAACTAATGGATGACTTCCTAGAGATGGAAAGACTGGCATGTTCAGCAAATGATTATGATCAGGTGAGTATCATCTCAGGCAGTTCAAATTATATGAGAACTGAAACTGCACACAGAGACAATCCAGTTGGTGGTGTAAAGAGTGAGGATTTTCTTCAGTTTAAAATGCAATCCCTCATGGTACCATCAGGAAATCAAGATTGCGCTGATGTGGAAGGCTCAGCAAAAGGACTCGAGGTTGATATAGGTCAACGACTGTGGTCGAAGCTCCTCTCAAGAATTTCTATGATACTTCAATCTCAAATTGAGGATGTTGACATGAGGAAGGCATTGGAGGATATTGAACATGCCATGCACGAAATGAAGAATTTTCTGCCTCGGTGCTCGTTCAATTCCTTAAAAAAGGCATCTCATCTTGTTGATGTTTCACACAATCTGCAGGCTTCTAATCAAGAATCTGCAGAAACCACAAAGAGTGAGATCTTGTTCACTCATGGCAGTAAACCAGCTATTGACACTGAACATATTGATAACCATGACGTAATGGCTGCCATTTCTCATATTCACCAGTTTGTGATATCTCTGGGGGGCAAAGTTGTTCAAGTTCATGACACTTCTACTGTTAGACAAGGCTTAAACAACAAATTCAAGGACTTCTCTGTATCTGTGGATAATTTTTTACTGAACAAGATAAGTATAATTGACTTTGTTCTTGATCTTTCTCATGTTTTAGCCCAAGCTGGTGAGCTGAGGTTCAGTATTTATGAGGCTCACGAAGGAGATATCACTAGTTCTGATTGCATTGATAAGGTCACTTTAGCAGATAATAAGGTAGCTAAAGATGACTTGTTTGGCAAGAATTTTACTGATAAATGGGGCCACTTTCCCTCTTTTTCTTCGAATCCTGAAGTTCTACAAGAAAGAAAATCATACCCAGGTTTTGCATTCAATACCACATCATGTGCATGCTCATCCGAGGAGTTGGAACAGTTGAAATTAAATAAGGACAACATGGTATTGGAGCTTGCTAGATGCAATCATGATTTGGAGATTACAAAGTTGAAGTTACAGGAATCAGAGCAGCTTCTTGTAGAACTCAGATCACAACTGGCATCATCTCAAAGATTGTACGGCTTGGCAGAGACTAAACTCAAATGCATGGCAGAGTCCTATAAGTCGGTTGAAATGCGTGCACTAGAGTTAGAAGCTGAGGTGAACCTTCTAAGAGTGGAAAAGAAGAATCTAGATAATATTATGCTTCAAAAAGAGAAGCGCGGTCATCGTGATGATCTGGAAGAGCAAACGCAAAGGTTAGCATGGTAGCTTCTCCTTATTAGCATGTTTCATTGACACATTGGCTGCATGTTCTCAACTTTAGTTAGACCTGGATGAGCTTTGATCGCAAAATTATCAATCATCTTTGCGACCTAGCTTGTATGATCTGATGTTTCACTCTGTGTAGAGATTTATTTATTTTTAGCTTCTCTGTATACATTCCATGAAAGAAGACATTCTTGAAAGACACTTCTGAGCAAATAGTAATAGGTGGTATCTTTTGGTTAATCTTGGAGGTCTGAACTTCATGAAACATGGTCAAGTCAAGATGGGAGATAATCAAGTCATGAGTTGATGAACTTTTTTTTCGAAAAGAAATGAACTGGTGAACTATGGAGCTAAAAATTGGATTGAGTATCAAAATCCTGTTGAATAATATAACCTGTCGAGGAAATGTCTTTTTGTACCTGTGGCTTTTATGATTATTTTGATGGAACCAATACTAATCGAATTTGTTAATTTTAGGAAAGAGCTCTCAATATGTTCGTTGTCTCCTTCAGCAGATTTTGACATCAATACTAAACAGGTACAAATTTTATCTATCCCCAACTTTCTAAAAGCTTGTGTTGCCCAGATATGCTTTGTGTTTCCCATCTCTTTGATTAGGGTTGTACCCAGCATACAAAGTTCCTGCATGAGTGTGGGAGACATAATCATACAGAATTTATGTACTCTATGTGATAATTTTTTTTGGTAATGTCTGTTGCACAAAACATGTTTTTCAGATGGCTTGATCATGTATGTATGCATGATATGTGCAGGTTTTATTTTGCAGACTGATTTATATTTCGGTTTGGGTCAGCCTAAAATGGTATATGTACTCTGTAAAACAACCAGATATAGTTTTTGACATAGATGCCACAGTCTGATTGTGGCACAATGCAAAAGTCTGGTCCTATAATTTCTGTTATTGTGAAATATAAATGGCTTGGGTCCTTAGGAAAGTGCTGTTGAAGGATAATTGATAGATGCAGTCCAAGCCGAATATTGTGTTAATATCGCCAGAAGCAAAATAGTATTGTCAGTAGATCTTAATCAGATGTTAATAATATGTGAAGGAGTTAAATGAGCTGTGTTTCATCACATAAACACAATTGAAGTACTCTGTTAAATTGCCAGGGCAGACTACAGAAAGGTTAGGTAAATTGTGACGCCGAAGATTTCCGTAATTTTGGATTTGGCAATATTTCCATTTTACGGAAGATTAAATTCTTAAAGATTGTGCAATTAATCTTCTGTAATCGTTTCTTCCCATGTGTAAAGGCAAAGCAGTAAACAGCAAATAGTTACATTACTTCTTTAAGGGAACAATGTGTGCTTCTAGCAATGCTCCAGCTGGTGGCCCCTTTTTTTTTTTTTGGGGGGGGGGGGGGG